ACCACAGGTTAAGAAACCCTGCTCTAAATGTAGGGGGTAGCCGCAATCTGGAAAATATGGTCCCAATTGTTTGGTCATGAGAGCGCTCCAAAGTTTGGAACCCTTAATGATAATTTTACTCTTTCCTTTTTTCGCCATATCTCGAGAAATTTAAAAGTGAATTGGCAACTTTTTTACACGCAATTATAAAATTCATTTAACCAAAGATAATTCTATGCAAACAATAACTTGGAAAACTATCGAAATTGGAAACAATTAGTTGAAAATGAAATTACTGACTGATAACAGTATGTCTAAATAAATTTTACAGAGAGCGATTAAACTAGAACTTTTGCGTATTTCTCCATATCTCGATGACTTTTTAAGCGAATTGAAAAAATTATGCCTAGAATTATAAAATTTGTTTATGCAAAGATAATTCCATGTAAAAAAATAACTTTTAGTAAATATTTACTATCTTATTTAATATTAGTCGATAAAGTTTGAATTGTAAGGTATAAAATTTTTTACATCATTTTAAAAAATATAATTTTACATGACAAAATACAAAATTTTAATGAAATTGATCAATTAATTCTTGAGAAATCGAAATTTTAAAAATACGACTTTTTTAAAATTCAATTTCCAAGAACAATTCAACCGATTTCACTCAAATTTGGTATTTTGCCATGTTAAAGTATGTTCTTTAAAACAATGTAAAAAATTATATACCTTACAATTCAAAAATTTTTCGGCAAATATTAAATAAAATAATAGAAAATAGTAAATATTTACTAAAAATTATTTTTTGTATCGAATGATCTTTGGATAGATGAACTAACTTTACAATTATTAGAAAATTTTTTTCAATTCTCTCAAGAGGTATTGCGAAATACGCAAAAAGTAAAAATAACGTTAATGGGTTCAAACTTTTGACAGCTCTCCTGACCAAACTATTGTCACCATATTTTCCAGATTGCGGTTGCCCTATATTTTTGGAGTCAGAAATCCAAATCCGTTGAAAAAAAGGTATGTTTATTCGGAGAAAGTGCGTTTTTGTGTCTGATTTCGTAACTTCAAATATCGTTCGAGCTAATTAATTAGCATATTTGAGGTCACCCCATCGAACAATTAAGAATGAGCTCTAAAACTTAGAAATCTTATAATTAGATCAAAAGTTATTCAGGGTGATCCGTTTTTTATTTTGCGCTCTGTACACGTACATTTATATAAATATTCATCTGCTTGTATACATTAACATACACATTTATCTAAACATTCATCTCTTCGCATATATTAACTCATTTATTTAAACATTTTACGCACATGATCGATGTTTCTGCTTTTGCTGGATGCGGAAGAGTAGCTGAGACATTGTTGCCAATCTTGAATAAAAGTACCTGAAAGAGAAACAGGCACTTTCTGAATTCCATTCTAATTAACAATGTTTTTAACATATTTTTCGTTAACTTATTAAAAATTAATAAACACAATTTTGAATAACACTAACGAGAACCAATCTTATCCAAGGTACTGCTCAAGGCAAATATGAGGCTTTGAATCATAAAATTTCCCGTATCTCTACAATCCGAACACGGGGGAAAAAAAACTTATAGCATTTTTTCCCATCTAATTATTTTGAGTAAAATTTTTATCATAAGATTTTTAAGAAATTCTGAAAATAGACAGTTGAATGTTATTTTTCACAGTTAGAGTTTATTGGGCAGTGGTACCAGTGGTTTAGTTTGATTCTCGATTCCACTAAGACATAAGGTATATATTTTTTTCGCACTAATAATATTGATAATGAGCTATTAATTTAATATAAATAACTTACCGTTTCCCCTATTGATTTACAAAAAACTCTGAATACTGTCAAATCTCCTATATAAAAAAAATTAAAAACAGTTTTAATAATATGGCAAAATAATTCCCGTAGACTTTATATAAAATAATAGATAACTGAGTACTTACTATTATATCTTATTGGGTCTTTAACAAGCTCAATATCAAGAAGTCCATGATTGCTAGCTTCCACTGTAAATTTAAGAGAAAACAACTATAGTATTTAAAACCATAACTGTTGCCATGTAAGCATCATGCCAGTTTTACTTACTAAGTCCAATGGAGCATATAAACAATAGCTTTTAGAATAGAGAAAGCCTCAGCCTGGGTTAAACATGACATCGTTCTTATTTTTCCCCACTGTGCAGCTTAGTAGCCTGAACGAAGTGACATATTTTTTATTTTTCCTCCACTGCGCAGTTTATGTTCGTTACATTAGACTCACAACCAAATTGATCCGTGCTGAGGCCTTCTTTCTTCTAAGAGGTGCTGATATAAGGTGGCATGAATAAACATTATTTTTTATCACTCTTATTGTTGTCATATTTATAAGTGATTTATTTAAAAAATACTTACACAATAATTATTATAATTGATCATACATATAATATAATAACTAATAATGATATATAAAATAATTTCGCTAAAATATAAATATTTCTTTTCTTTTTTTTAACTTGTTATAAAAATATCATAATTTCTGTTTGAATGAAGAATAGTTTGGATCTAGAGAGAAATGAACATTAAAAATACTTCCAAAACATTAGGACCGGGACCAAAAGCAACTACTGAGAATGTTTATTTTAAAGTGCAAAATGTTTGAAATAAATTAAAATTTGGAGAAAAAAAAAACTTCCCGTCATGCACGTGAGGAAATTCAGCAATTTCAACAAAGAGAATTTCAAATTCAAAGCTGTATTTTTCTGGTTTGCTAAAAGTTTCGTAACAGAAATTTTACAGCAACTTAAATAACAATTTTTCTTTTTCTATTACAAAAGATATTTTACCAGATGCTGGATATTTTCGTAAAGCTGATTTCAAATCTGCAAATGATTCTTCCTTCCAAGTTTCATTTTTTTTCTTCAAATGACATTTTCAGTCTACTTTACGTAGAAATGTACAGGTTTAAAAGCGTTATTGGTAAACAAGGGGTCAAATAAACGTTGCGACAAATTTCTACGGGAGTTAAGGCGCGACATTAGGATCGAAATTTCATAAGAATTCATTCAAGGAAATGTCACCATACGCCGCTAGGGGTAATTTGTCATTGAGACCTGTTTAGATATAGTATGCTGATTTCAAATTTGCAAACGGTTCTTCTTTCCAAGTTAAATTGCTGTCAAATGACATTTTTAATCTATTTCTTGTGGAAATGAACAAGTTTAAAAACATTATATGTAAACAGAGGGTCACATAAATGTTGCTACAAATTTCTAGGGGAGTTAGGGCACAGCATTAGGATCAAAATTGTATAGTAATCCATGCCCAGAAATGTCATCATACGCCGCTACGGCTGTTGTCCTATTGAAACCTGTTCTGAAGCACATGAAAAAGCAGTTAATATTAGGGAAGCTCCCTTTGCGGCGTATGACGACATTTCCGTCCATGAATTCCTATGCAATTTTAATCCCAAAGATGTGCTCTGACTCCCCTAGAAATCTGCCTCAACGTTTATGTGCTCCCCTGTAATATATATCGTTTTTAAACTTGTACATTTCCACAAAAAATAGACTAAAATGACATTTTAAAAAAAAAATGTATCTTGGAACGAAGAACAGTTTGCAGAGTCAGCGTTGCGATATGTAAACAGATCTCAATAGGAAAGCCCCCCTATGGGTAACAATTAGCCCAAAAAAATATACATGGACTAAAAGTGTTATTAAAAAAAACTGTAACTTTAGGAACAAAACTAATTTCATATTTGAAATCCCAACATCCGAATAAGATAAGAAGTATTGGTATCAATTCAACAAAAAATTTGTTACCCATTGTTATCAAATTAATTATCTAGCTCTAAATTCATGTAAAATATAATTTAGTTAACTCCAAACCCAAACGCTAACGACAACAGCTACCTGATTTTAATATAGAGAAGTGCGATTTTTTTTGTTGTCAGCCAAGCAATGTTTTATTTCAGCTAAAAGGAAGAAAAAAAGTGTGCTTACGTGTCGTGAGATGTCCCTCTTTAAACAAAGGCCATTTTCTTGGACCGCCATCAAAAGCGATTTCTTTGTTTGCTCCAAGAGCTACAACCGCAACACGTATTGGGTGCACTGCCTGTAATATTCAAATCATCATTTTAAAAAGAAGAATCAGAAAAAATGGGATGCACAGTAATACCAATTAGAAAAATTAATCTGTTTATATTATTTTCAGAAATGCTGATATAAACCCCCATATTTTTATTTCTGAAATATAGCCCAAAATGAAGTAAAAAAAGTACACATATTAGGAGTTGCAAGTATCAATAGAGCGATCATGAGCGCAAAAAAGAAAAAAAATTATTTCTTCATCAAAATCTAACGAAAATAATGTACCAAGGAGGTAATGTATCGTAACAGTGCATGAGAATAATGGCTGCAGATCCTCGTTTAACTTCGAAATTTACTAAAAGTACAAGCAACCTGACATTGTTTGATGACTCGGACATATATTTCGATCTGATAATGCAAAATCAAGTGAAAAAGATCACTTCAACTAATCTCATGAGAAACAGAAACGAGGAGGACCACCAATTAGGTGGCTTGACTCGGTGGAGAAGTACCCTCATATTGTGAATAAGGGAAACTGAAGAGCCTTTGTGACGGATAGGACCAGATGGCAAAAAGTACCTTGGCCTATAATAGGCTGTAGTGCTTTGAAAGAAGTACGGTCACAGGAGAAAACAAAGAGGAGTTTTTAAATAACAGAAAAGCGATTGTTAAAACCTTCTCCTACTTTTACCGGGAAATCAAATTGGTTTTTGTATTCTTCATCTAGCTTATTACTAATAATTTGACTGATTTTTCGTTTTCGTCAGACATTTTTTTTTTCGTGCTTACGTATTTATTTGCAATTCACAGTATGTATAATTTGACTTCATTTTTGATGAGGATTCTAAAAATAAACATTAATATTTTTAGCTAGTGATTAAGAAACACACTTTATAGATTTCAAAAGGGGATATTATTTGCCACAAAATTACTTGATTAAGCAGTATTAAAACATTTTGATAGAGTTTGTCGTAATATACACAAATTACAAAGCAAAATTTTCAGAATGTGTAGAAATTTTGTTAGTCTGTCTTGAGGAGAAATTATTATTTTATCAAATATGGAAAGTCAATTACCAATCGGAAGAAAGCAAGGTAGAACTTCAACAATTTTTCCATATTTATTTTTTAAAAAAATTTACAACAAGTCCCCTAATTGAAATCAATTTTTAAAAAATCAGACTGTTTAATCATGTAATAAAAAAAACAGAAAAAATACAGATTTTTTTTTAACCTTTTGAAGTTAAAAAATTTTTTCTTCGACAAATAACTTCGAACTTTGAAATAAAAAGCTAAGATCTTTTATCTTCAGATATAAGAGTAAAAAACTGCAAAATATAATAATTTTACTATTATTAATTAAATATAAAACTTTCCTTTACATTCCTTTAAAAATCAACTAAAGAAAAAAAAAACGAAAAATAGACTTGTTAATGTTAATTACTAAAATTCGGACTTTAAGTGAGACGTAGTATATCCCTGTAAATGTCGCAAAATTCCATTTCATGTCACAATGTCACAAAATCCTGTTTCGTTTTACAACACCTAACTTTACTTTTTTTTTCTAAACATAAAAGTTATTTTAACGTGTATACTTTGTCGTAAACTCAGAATTGAGTCGGCTGTTCAAGCTCGGTAATAAAATATAAAATAAAATATGTATGCTTAGAAACGTGGTGGCTCAGGGGATAGAGCACTCGCCTCCCAATGAGGTGATCCGTGTTTGAATCCCAGCGATGACTGGTTGATGCGAATTCCGCACCCGGCACGCACCTACTACTGTACTGACGCAAAATATCCTCAGTGGTGGCTGGATCCTGGGTTAGAGTCCCTTTGTTGTCTAGATAGCCGTGGGAGGTTTTCGTAGTTTTCTTCTCCATGCAACGCAATTGCTGGTTAGTTCTATCGAAAAGTCCTCCACGAAACCAGACTTCTCCCAATACTTGATCCAAGAGATCCCTTGTCATCTGGATTGGGTTCAAAATTACAAGGTTACGGAATTGAACATAATTGAGTTGACTGTTTAACGACGGTCATAAAATAAAATATTTATGCTATTTGAAAAAAAGTAGAGGGTGAGCTTAATTATCGAGAGATTTTTCAGATTCATTTTTATTTATTTATTTATTTTTATTTTTTAAACATAATGAGAAAAATTTTAAAATGTCAGGAGTAAATCCATTGTGCTCTATTTTTGTATGGTATCATCTACTCAACTATTATTTACAAAATTATGCTAAATAATATACTCATTTTGATCAGAGGAAAACAAAAGTTGAAAATTTAAAGTTTACTCACAGTTAGAGGTTTGAAGCAGGATAAAACGGTTGTAGTTTTGAGAACTTCGCCAGTTTTGTTACTGGAGTAAAAAATATTTATCCGAGAATGTCCTGGAGATTTGCAGCGAAATTGCAAAGTGAGGCAACCTTTCCCAAATGCAGGAACATATGGTTCTGAAAAAATATCTATATATTACAGGGTTAAAAACTATATTACAAAGATAAGTAACTAGTAATGTACTTTATTCCTAGCCTTCCTATTTTAATGTTATACATGTTCTCATATCAACATTCATGTCTATTATAATTAGTCACAATAGAAATAATTATTGCTTTTTGCCTCATTTAATAGCCTGAATCTGTTATTTTTCGTTACTATTATGCATAATTGTGGAGATGGATGATTCTTGATGCATCGATGAATCAAAGGAAAGGAAGATAAAGTGTGGGGAAAAAGTATGAATCATTGTCTGTTTAATCAGGTCATAAAAAATATTAAATAAAAAAGTCCGCAAAATTATAATTAGTGATAAGGCAGTTGACGGCCATCTTTTTTTGTGCGCGTTGCTCTTTAAATGATAGCTCTAGAACTATATAGGCTGGATTTTTATAAGTTAGATGCAAATTTTACTTATTACTTTTTCGTACAAACCGATAGGAAAGTTGCTTTTTTTTAAATTTTAGGGATAAGAGTGTTAGTATCTTTATTTATTAATTAAAATTACATAAATAAATTTAATCATTAATATATCGTTCACCAAATATTCCAGTTAGAAAAACTTCTTTATTGATTTTAGTTTCTTTAGTAACTTTATTCCTTGAACGTCACTAAAATTTAAATGTTTTATAATTTATGATTTTCGCTTCACTTTTCTAATTTTTAGCAAACGTATCAGCTTAAAATTTTTAAGTAAAACAAGTAAAACCCTTTTTTTTTGCAATTTCCCAGTTTATTTAAATCATTCATTAACATCATTCATTTAATAAACGTGAACAAATACTATTGAAAATATGCGAAGTTGGCTTTAATGGGTAAGCGAAATACTTAGAAGTCGTGAAGTTATGTGTTAAAATTTGTTAATTTTTTTAAAGTCTGATGGGATGTTTAAAAAAGATAAAACGATCTTTTCTTTCTATATTTTTGATCGAAACAAATTGACAACTAATTTTTAAGTTAAAAATCTAAATTTCAATATCTAACGAAGTAGAAGTCTTAAATTTGAAATTATAACGAGATACAAGTAAGCATTACCGAATTTCAAAAACAAAATACGCATAAGTACATAGCACATAAGTACCAAGGATATTTGAAGAAAAAAACACAAATAAAATCATTAAATTTCAAAATTAACGTTCTAAATTTCAAAAGAAACAAAATACGAAGAAGTAATAAATTTTACAAATAACTTAGAGCAATTAACAGTTTTAAATTTCAAAAATAAGAAAGCAGAATTAAGAGTAGAAGTATTTTTACTTGTACACTCACCCACGTACAAAATTTAAGTCAAATTTCAACGTTTTAATGATTCACAGTACAGAAGTGAGTTTTTTTTAACGGCATATGATCCAAGAAATAATTTTTATTTGAAAAATTTGCAAATGAATCGTAATGAATATACATATATTGATGTTCACCTCTGAAAAAAAAAAGATTGATGAGTTTTACCTTCATCTTGAACCAAAATGTGCTTTTCAACTATTTCAACTGTCGGGTATATTTTTGAACAGTCATCAAACTTTCGGATAATTTTTCTTTCTAAAAGAAGAAAAAAATCATAAAATTAAGAAGGTGATTAAGAGGTCGCTCTATAACAGGAGAAACTTTTCATTGCGAATTCTATTTTATTTTACATCGGTGAATTAAAATTTAAAGTTTTGTGAAAAGTGAGCTCAGTGGAGGAGAGTTTCCTCATAGCGTAATCCTAAACAATCCTGCCATAATTTGCTAGCATTTAGAATTTATTTTTCCACCATTTGAAACTTTATGACTTACTCTAGATTTATTTGAACGCACATTCTCAATACCTTAAATTTAAATTTTACTTAAGGATGCGAAAGAGAATTCACTAAGGCAGCTAGGTTACTCCAGTGATCCTTAACAGGATTCTATAGCATCCTGTTAAGGTTCAAAATATGTTTCCAGTTTCGTTACTTCTGACCGCTAACGATATATATATNATCTTTTTTTTCTTAAAATGTTAATTAAGGTGTCCACTTACATAATCGGTTAATAATTTTTATTTGTTTAAACAAAATTACTATGTTACAATATAATATTCTAACACCAAAAAAAGTACTTACGTAGCGTGAAAATATCTTTTGTGATATAACTCTTTCAAAAGTACATAAAAATGGTTGCCAGCAGGGGTGTACATGTAGATTTATTAAATACACCTTGTGCGCCACGTAGGAACCGAATCCAGAACCCGACACTCGAAATATTTGCTCTGTTACAATCGTACCCTGTTACAATTGACCCCACTCTCCCCTACTCCTGCCATAATTTGCTTGCGTTTAGAATTTGTTTACTCAGCATTTGAAAATCTCTGACTTACTCTAGATTTAAGTGAACTCATTTTCTCAATACTTTAAATTTTAATTTACTTATGAATGCAAAAAAGAATTCGCTATGGCAGCTTAGTTTCTCCAGTGATCCTTAACAGGATTCTATAGCATCCTGTTAAAGATCAAAATATGTTTTCAGTTTCGCTTCTTCTGACCACTAACAATTTCTTTTTTCGATAACCGTTGTTGAACAGCCGACACAATTTTGAGTGTACGACTACCAATGTTGAACACCGTAGCCTTGTAATTTTGAAACCAATCCAGAAGATAAGGGAACTTCTAGATCAAGTATTGAAAAAAATTTGCCTTCGTTGAGGACTTTTTGAGGGAACTGACTCGCATTTGCACAGAGAGAAAAACCACGAAATCCTCCTACATTTAGCCTGACTGTAACCCATGATCCGTCTAGCACTGAGGATAATTTTTACAAGCACTGTATTCGGTGCGTACTGGATGCGAAATTCAAATCGATCAGCCATTGCTGGGAATCAAACCCGGGTCAATTCATTGGGAGGCGAGCGCTCTATCCCTTGAGCCACCACGGCTCCATTTTTTTAAATATCAATATTAATTGAAAATATCTGTCAATATTAAAATTCGTACTAAACAGTTATAGGGACCAGTGTGGGGGCTGCGAAAACTGAACATATGACTTCAAAGTAAAACAAAGAATTAATGAATTAATCGCAGAAAGGAGGATATTAATGATTACTAATTATAAGAAAGTCAATTTACTCACCCCTGCATTCGTATCCGAGAAGAGCAACGGGTAAGAGCAAAGTATTTCCTATTTCCGCTTCTACAACTGTTGGATATACCTCGATGTCAGCAACCGGTTGAACAGAAACCTTGAAAATGAAAATGCAATATTAGTCATTCTACAATAGCCACGAGAGACCCTGCGTCCAATATATTGGCAAAATTTTGTTTAAACATATGGCTTAAAAATAATGTTTTAAGATTTTCTTTCTGTTTGTATACCTAAACAAAACAATTTGTTCATGTAAAAATATAATTGGATTTATTAACGTTCGTCATCACAATGGCATAATATAAGGAAGGTATATGATTTAAGTAACCTGTTAGGTATTTTACGGTATATAAATTATGCAATTCCAATTAAAAATAATCAAGAAATCTTAATTAAGTTTAATTAATTGAACTTTATTTAAAATTTTTCGCATTTTAGGAGTATATTGTAAGAATCTTTGACAAAAAAGAAGTATAAAAAGGCAAACATTACGGGTTGCAAATGAATATTTCTATGGGGAAAGAATAAAACTGCCATTAACAATTGTTTTATATTTTATTTTTGAACAGCCGGCCCAATTTTCGGGTTTACGTGTGCTAATGTTCAACTCCGCAGCCTTGTATTTCTGAACCTAATCCAGAGGACAAGGGAACTCCTGAATCATGTATTGGGAGAAATTAGTCTTCGTTGAGGACTTTTTTGCCGGAACTAACCCGCATTTGCGTTACTTGGAGAAGAGGACCACGAGAACTTTCCACGGTTAGCCTGACGGCAAGGGGACTCTAACCCATGATCCGTTTACCACTGACGATATTTTACGTCAGCACTGTGGCCGGTACAAGCAGGATGCGGATTCGTATCGACCAGCCATCGCTGAGATACGAACCCGGTTCACCTCATTGAAAGACGAACGCTCTATCCCCTGAGCCATTGCGGGTTTATCAACGGTTATGAAATAAACAGTGAGGAAGGGGGAGATGAACTGCATCAGAGCGGCTTTGTTTGCCTGGGACAAACTTTAAGGAGTTTCAAATTACAGCCTTTCACCTCTTCTAAGTTTCGTTCGGTAGTTTAACATGTTATCTCATATTAGATCTCGTATTAACATGTTAAATTGCTCTTTAATGCGTATAAACTGGAGGATGCAGGCCTGGGGAAGCACTTTGTTCTCCTTCTGCTGGTTATGAAAGGGTTCAAATAACACTTATCTTCTGCTTCATATTCTTTATCTATTATAAGACGACAATTACTTTAAAATGTGTTCTTAATAGTAAATAAACATAAAAGTCGAAATGCGAAAAGCTAGCAGAATTGGTGTGTTATTAATAAAGTTTAGATTTTCTTACCGAAAAAGAATTAAGGAGAATTCAGCACGGTAGTGTAGCTTCAGAGGCAAAATTATGGTTGAAAAGTGTTAACATTTTACAACAAGATGCACATTGGAAAATATTTTTGAACACTGGATGAGACGAGCTATTGCTAAATAATTTTCGAAATCAACTTCTTCAACCGGGCGTTTTTAAAATCAAGACATCCGAGAGAATATTATTGAAGTAAACTTGAAATTTTGAGAGTACATGTAGAACGATTCTTTAGCTCAAACCTATAACACGAACGGCCAACAAAAATATAACAATTTTTTAATGTAAGTAAAAAGTAAATTTTCTCACGCTTTAAACAAAGTGAAAAGGAAATGATTTTTTTTAAACTTTTCTTCACCTTTCCAGACATTCTCTCTCCGGCAATAGTGTATATACTTGATAATACGTATATTCGCATACTAGTATACGTGTACTCTCTAACTCTGTACTATACTTACTAAAGGGAATGCATACGTTCCAATGCCAGTTGTAATATGATAGTACCAAAATAAGACTAATTCCATGTGATCTTGGGCCGTTGGAGTTAGAAATGCTCATTTCATATAGGATACTTAGGGCGGGAAAGTGAGAATCACGTGATCAAGTATAAAGTGATCAGTACACAGAAGAAGTCAATAACACTCTATTTTGAACGCCATTGCAAAGTAGTTTTTCTTAAAAGCTCCAATATTAAAAGTGATTTTAAAAAAAGTACTTAATATTTATGACTTGTTTTAGCGAGTATTAAAGTATCTGGCTGGTGCAAAAACATTATTTCGAAGAAAATTTATGAAATTGATTTTATTATAAATTTAGAATCTCTGCACTATTACTTTTCTAAAAAAAAACTCTTTACTTTTTGTTTGTATTAAAATTATTTACAAAGTTATAGCAGTTTTCGTGCAAGGTGATAACAGTTCATAGACTAATTGATTTTGAATTTTTAAATGCGTTTATCTCAAAATCGGATTTTTCTCCACCTTAATTACGATATCGCATGTTGTTTTTAAAATAATTGTCTACAATTTTTCGTGAGTGTTTATGATTACAGCATATACGTTTTAAACTACCAACTAAGAGAAAAATGTAGTTTAATTTTTTATGCATATTTTTTTCGCAATTTTTAAACATTTTACATTTTTAACTGCATTGACCCCTAACTCAGTAAAATATGCACTTGCTCTTAAGATAATAGTTCAAAACATGGTTGGTAGCCTTCTAAATAAAATTTTCAAAGGGTTTTTTGTTTTAGTCGATCGATGTTTTGATACAGAGTTTAGCGTATGAGCAAAAAAATGCCTTATTTTCACCTAAAAATGGCCGTTTAAAGAAATAATAATAATTAGTTTTTTAAATTTTTACACATAATAAAACAAATAAACTTGTTTTTTAAATTTTATATTAGTTATTAAAAAACAAATTGTCGAAACTAGTCGGATATCTTAAGAGCGGACATTTAACAAGAGATCTTACTTTTACTTCGTTACTAGTAATAAATCATACTTTTGCTGAAGCTAGAAGATTGACATTGTTGATATCCGCGGCTGAAACTGTGAAATCTGACTCCTTAAAGACGGTTACCATGGCTACATTGTTGTTTTCGCGATCAGTAGAAATGGATGCTGCAGATCTATCATCTAGACCCCAAGAGTAATTATGCGTTCCTCCAGAAACCTAACACAGAATAATTTTTTTACTATAAAGCATAAAATAAAAGTACAAGTAATAGTCATACATTTTAATGCTTCTAGTTAAACTCTTTCAATAGATTGTTATAAAATGTACGGTAAAAAAAAATCCATATTTACGTGTAATTACTAGTAAAATTGGGTTCTTGCAACTCGAGACGAAGTAAAGTTATTATGCCTAACCTTGTGATTTAAATCAGATTTAATTGCATGCCTATTGGTTACTTACGATGACGTCACTTGCAGGTACCCAATTAACAAGAGTCTAGGAGTATCTGTAATTACATGTTTGTACCAATCATTTCAAGCTCTTAGGTAAGGAAAAACAAGAAAAACATTTTTTTTTGCTATTAACAGAATTTTCAGCTAAAATCCATTCGCACTACAGAATCAATAGTAAGCAACTGAAGTGCTCTAATAAATCTTAGAGCTAATCAGTGACTAAGAAAATCCATAAATCAGCGAAATAATGACATTGTTGGTTCAACGAATCAGTAAACTAGTAAATTAACGAATCAACAAACCAAAAAATCGGATACAGGGCAAATATATAAAATAAAAATACCACAACTTAAAAGCCTTACACTTGAGTCAAAGCTATAATTTAAAACTACATATAGCATTTCTCCGTTAAAACTATCCGTACTTTAGAATGCGCAAACAACTTAAAAATTTTAAAAGTTAAACCTTGTTTTTTTTTTCTTAAATGCCAATTTGGGCAAGATTTTTCCACATAAATGAAAATTAACCATATCATGAATAATTCTCAATTTTTGCAAATTCGTATGAGCCCAGATAATGCATTGTTGGAGTAACTTTTTTAATCTTCAACCACAAACGCTTTTCGTTTTTGCAAAACTGTAGTTTTTCCTCATACTAACGTTTTGAGCCATTTTCAAAAATACGGGCACTATCTAAACATATGTTAAACTTTATCTAATAGTCATGAATAACTGTTTCAAACTCACAGCAATATGAAAATTGCATATCATTCTTCGTGAAGAAAATTTAAAAAAAATAAGAAGAAACTTTCTTTTATGTGACGGCAGAGACAGACTTTCGAAAAACAGCCATAGGAATGCAAAATGGCAAGTGAGGGACACAAATTATGACTGTTCGTCTTTAACAGACTGTTTTCTCCAGCATAAATAATTCAGCAAAAATAATTACAGTATAAATAATTTTATTCAGCATAAATAATTGTACCGCTTTTAACTTACTCGAAGTGAGATTTCGTGCAAAGGATTGCCAGCTGAATCTGAAGGCAAAAGACTGAATGGAGGGTAAATTTGCAGTTTGTGACAAACTCGAACTTTCATTGATGTGCTGATGGATTGTTCTTTTCCCATTTTGCCATCCTGTGAAAAATAAAAAATGAAAGAAATTATATCGACAATTTATCGCTTTTTATAATATTATAACATAATAATATTATAACATAATAGTAATATATAATATAAGTACTTTATAAAAGTTGCTCTGTAAACTGCCGTATAACTCAAAAATTATCGAAGATTAAAGAAATCAATTGAAGGATAGTAGGAGAAGATAGGCATGTGCGGTTAGAAGCGTTTTATTGAAGAAACCAATTTAATTTTCATTAAGTTTAAAAACTAGTTACAAAGTTTATCAATAGATGGAGGTACAGACTGGAAGAGCCATTTTTTCAGATCATTACAAATGAAACATCTGCACGATTGTCTATAAATTTTGCCTTCGTCCTCAGACTGTGTCTGGTTATTTCTGCAAAACAAGGGTTGCTTTAAAAATACTGTACTACAGTTTTTTTTCCAGACATGAACCTATCTGTTGTCAAGATTTGCATCTAATCTTGAATCTAGATTAGAAAAGTTTCCTGTTTTTCGAAGCTGCATTACGTTTATTTCTATATCCTTCAATTTATTTTCTTTCCTTCTTTATTATAATTTTATATTAAACCATCGCCTACTTTAGGAATTTCCCGGTATGAAAATACAATTTTTCCGCTCCAAATTTTAAATGTTAACGGAAAAATAACAAATATTTATACCGGTCAACATGCAGCAGATAAAAGTAATTAAACTGTTATATAAGCATGGCTGTATAAAATGGTAGTATCTTTTTTCTTCCTTTTAAAACAATTTATACAAAGTTTTTTTTAACATTTATAGGAATATTTTTTAGACTTCAAATTTTAAGGAAAAAGTACCCATTTTCGCTTTCCAGTAGACTTCATTTTAATTTAAAATTGGAGATAAAGAAAATATCCACATAATATTCTATAATTTACTGAATGAAAAATATCTTTTTTTTTTGTTTTTTGACTTTAATTTGAAAAATATCCTTCTACTTTACATTTTTATTTTGATCAATGAAAACGAAATATTTTTTTGTTCAACAGAAAAAAAACTTATTTTTCGCACTTTAGATTTCATACTTAATAAAGGTCTTAACTTTTTAATTCGATATCTGTCTTTTGATATGGATATATAAAAACGTACTACCCTTTTTGCTTTTTTGTCATGATGTAAAAATAAATTTTATGATTTTTCGCCATTTGATATATTTGTGCAAAACGATATAAAATTAGTTAATTGTGTTTATTAAATTTTCATCTAAAAATAACTAAAACGTTTCAGTTATTAATTTTCAGTGCATGTGAATTTAATATATAATTATAATATACATCGATGGTTGCCGACGAATGAGTTGGAGTCTTACACCAGATTTTTACAAACAATATATATCTATTCGTCATACGTACGTCATTCGTCATAATACGTAATAATTATATATTATATACGTATATAATATATAATTATTTTTCACTTGTTTATTTGGAAATGAGTGTGCCCCAATTTTTTTCAATTCATTAGGAAAATGGATGTTATAATTTCATGTCCGCACATTTTTCGACCAGATCAACTTCAACACCATATTCACAAATAAAGAGTTATACGAATCATAAAAAAAATGTTAATGAAATCATTAATAAAAAGTTGCAGAACAAGATTAAGTTTTAAAAGAAAGCAGACGATAATTTTGGAACTTTATTGAGTTTATTTTTATTTCATCATCGTAATATACTAAAGTGTTTTTTTTTAATGTTCATTTTATGGTTAACTTATTCATAATTACTATCTGGGCAACGATTTTAATATAAATATGAATACTGAAGAAGGAAAGACGTCTGAAGAAATGCACATCGGCTGGAATTGATACATAACCAAACCAATTGGCATAATTACAATGTATAGCATGCATAGCATAATACATAACAAAACTAAGTGACAGGAAATGATACATTGATTGAAAACCAATCTAGTGCATTGGACTATAAGAAGACAAACATCAATTCATACAGTTTTCGTAACCCATGACATGAAATGTTTTTGCGTTTATAAAAGTCTACTCAGAGAAAATAAAAAGGACATTTGGCCAGCAGATAACAGGTTGAGATCACAATAATGCAAGCACAAGTCATAACCAAACGAATTGGCATAATTACAATACATAACATAATACATAACAAAACCAATTGGATGGAATTGATACATTGATTGAAAACAAATCTAGTGCATTAGAAGATAAGAGGACAGAAATCAATTCATGCAGTATTTGCAACCCGTGACATGAAAGGTTTCTGTTTTTACTAAAGTCTACCGAGATGAAATAAAAAGAACAATTTGACCAACAGAAAACATGTTGTGGTCGCAATAATGCAATAGAANATCTTTTTTTTTGCAGCGCATTGTAATTTAAATACTTACCGATAAAACGTGGCCTTTGTATTCTACTTTAATAGTGCCAGAACCAGGTGCTAAGGTCTGGACATGAAAATATGTACCATTCTTTGTAGACGTCAGCACGTGAAAAAGTTTGCTTGGAAACAAAACTTTTACTCTCAGATTCTACAAAAACATTAAAAAAATATTTTTATGCTTATAAATAATAATTAAATTTCCGACGTCATTCAAGAAATAGCTTAGAAACTAAAACAAAACTACTTACATCTGATGCAATCACACGCTTTCCTTCTGATGAAATGTGAACACAGATAATGTAGCTTTTCATTTCTTCCAAGTTCGTGAAACCACCACGAGAAATTTGAATCTCTATGGAGAATAAATATACATACATAATGTTCTCTTTTCTCCATCCTTAAATATATATAGGGTGACCAAAATGCACAGAAACTGTCAAATATCTTAAAAGTTTGCAATTTTTAAAATATCTATTTTTATTATTATTTTATCTGTGCTAATATCTACTTTATGTGTATGTTTTGATTTCAATCTGACATGTATTCCTCAAGGTGTATTCAATTTAAACAATTTTCACACCATTTTCATTTGCACTTTACAGCACCATCGCTGTACCGAAACTTAAAATCACGCAAATCAGTTTAAGGTACTTTTTTCTGGACAATCCAAATCTGCAATATACATATCTGTTATATCTTGAAATTGTTCTGATCTAAACGCAATCTGGAAATTATGGAATTCGGTTGAAAATTAATTTCAATTTGTATGATTTCTCCTCTATAATAAAAACTCGTAATAGCAGCTGTTCGGATGTTTAACTTAAGATTAAATTCTGCTTTTCTGCGCAAAAACTATAAAATTTAGAAACAAAAAAATACAAATGAGTGTAGTTAAATGTACAGGGCTTTAGAGGAATAAAACAACAAAAGTTAAAGATATAGTTATATGTCAATTTTCAGACATCATTATAAGTAATTTATATGCATAAATAGATTCACCAGTCAATTTTTCTAGTCCTAATCATTCTCTATCACATTTATTTAGACATACTGTTATCTGCTACTTTTACTTTCAACTAATTATTTCCAATTTCCTTACAAATAACTTCAGAAGATTTTAATTTTGAACCCGCAATCTGGAAATTATGGTGCGAATAGTTTGGCTAGGGGACTTTGTCCCCCTTTATATCAATTTCACTTTCTGCGTATTTAGCCACATTTCGGAAAATAATAAAATTCATTTATCCAAAGATAATTCTAGATAAAATATAATTTGCCATAACTAATACAATTTTTTTTTATTTAAGAAGGATCAGAAAAATATTAAATTGTTAGGCATACAAATTTTTACACCATACAAAATGCTAAATTCATATCCAACCATGGGAAGTTACGAAATTTGAGCGCAGTTAATTAAATAGTTCCTGGGCTGTAAAATTTAAGAAAAATGCATATTTTCAACATTCTATTTTTTAAGAACTATTCGACCAATTTCGCTCAAATTTTATTTTTTTCTTTTAAAATTGCTAAATTAGTTTAAAAGATGTAAAATACTGCATACTTTACAATACAATATTTTTCGACCCTTATTAAAAGAATTAAAAAAAAAACTTCTAAACATTGGTTTTTACTTATTATTATCTTTTATAATTATACAAAATTTTTTATTATTAATTTCATAATTGTGTATAAAAGTGCTCAATTCGCTTAAAAAATTTCTCAGTTATGGCGAAATACGATTAAAAGGAAACAAACATTAAGGAGCTTAAACTTTCAAACGTTCTTCAGACTAAACCAACGGGACCATATTTTCCAGATTTCGGCTACATCTGCGATTACTGCAAGAAGGGACCTCTGCGATTGTGATTGTCAAAAGTATGTCAGAAGCGTCTTTATGTCTGAAAACGTAAATTAAAATATCGTCTGTTTAAGATTAATTAGAATATTTATGGTCGATCTCTTGAACCCATAGGGAGCTTTGGTATAGCGTTTGATTTACAAGCGTATCGGAAATGTTCGCACATGCGCTTTGAAGCTGAAATATCGTTAACGTCGGAGTAAGGAGGAACCAGAACCTTATGCAAAATCTCTCTAACATCTATCGTTGACAATCCTATCGATGAATCAAACGTGTTTAAGATGCTCCGATTTTCATTTTGTACCTCATCAATGCTGCTATTTCATCCAATGAAATAACTTCGTTATGACAGTAATAAAGTAATATTGAAAATAGCAATATAACTTACCAATATTTTCAGGCTCCACAACATTCACAGTTACCGCAGTTCGAGGATATCTTTCACCTGATAGTTAAGAATTATTATCCAACAAAAAAAAAAGGAAATGCTAATTATTATTACCTACTAATAACAGCCGAGTGAAAAACACACGTATACTTTCAGGTGTCATTCTCTGTGCAAGAAATATATCTCTCATAATGATAGTTTTAAATTTAATTGCCTAATAGTGCAAAATGAGCAGTGATGACTCAGGGGATAGAGCGTTCGCCTTCCAATTAGATGAATCAGGTTCGAATCCCAGCGATGGCTGGTCGAAACGAATTTCGCACCCGGCTTGCACTAACCACAGTGCTGACGTAACATATCCTCAGTGGTAGACAGATCATGTGTTAGAGTTCGTTAAATATAAATTCGAAGCAACAAAATTAATCGGAGTTAGAAAAAAATGAAGTAAAAAGAAAAAATTGGGGCAACAACTAATGAAAACACTCTTTTCATTGTTCTCTTGTTTCAAAATCTACAAGAAAGCCAACAAAGAATCAATAAGGATGGATGAAGTAAGATTTTGGGGCTAAACTATTTGAGATTTTGGGAAATGCCATTAAACAATTATACCAAAATAACCTCTGTGTATCAGAATTATAATTATATAAGAATGCATTTAAGTTCATCTGTGGAAATTTCCGTGACGGAAATAAGCATTAAAAAGTCTTTAACCATTAACTTAAACTTGGTGAATAGAATAAAGTAATGCATGATATACTTAATCTTGGTAAATCGCATAAAGCTATGCATGCAATACTTAATCTTGGTGAATAAAGCTATGCATTATATACTTAATCTTGGTGAATAGAATAAAGTTTATTATGCATAGCTTTATGCATGATACACTCAAAGTGATCATGCTTATGTTGCATGATACACTTAAAAGTTCAGGAACTATTGTCTTAATTTTTTTTTCTCTTGTTCGTTGTTTTCGAATAAATAAATCTGAAATTTAATCTCAGTCCCATTAATTCTGGTTCTAAGCTTTTTTAGTGCCAAACTTTTTGTATAAAATGGACATAAAAATTTATATGATATTGATATAAAAAGGATACTTTTACTGTCGTAAATCAATTCTGTTTGACCCAGATTTTTACCTGTAACCGTTTTCAAATCCTCTGAAATTTCAACATCTTCGTTAGAAGAGGAAAAAATAGAATCATCCTTCTGATAAACTGGAAAATAAATAAAATATATTTTTCAAATTGATTCCACATTGCTAAGCAAACAATTAAACAATTATTAAAATTTGTCAAATAATTAAACTATAATAAAACAATAATAATTAAGTCTCAAGATAAATTTAAACAGGCAATTACTAAAATACTAAATGAACTAAATTACCGAATGTTTGCGTCAAAAATAGAAAACAAAGCTTCCACCACTTTTCGTCGTTGTGTTTTATTATTGTTTAATTTTTTATTTCGAAATAATTGAAATGAGCATTGACTGACTTCAAAATTAAAAATCTCAAAGGCAAAATGTGATGGAGAGATAAAACTAACGGTATGTCTATTATGAAAGCTGTAAAAATTTTAAGAAGGACTTATTGAATTTTTTTTTTAGAAAAGATGACAACAGATGCCGCAATAAGCTATACATAGTTCTTGAAAGAAATGCAAATTCCACAGAATTGTATTCCAACATGTTGTTGTTTCATATGACATTTGGGCAGGCCAAGCTCACCAGTGTTTGGCCTTGCGAATTAAATCAGAAGGAGAGCATTTCGATTGACACGATAGCACCAATAGAGAAGTTATTCAGCTTAGCTCAGAGCCTTCCGGATAAATGGCAACATCACTGATTTTTGAGGTCACATTCACAAGAATCTGAAGGGGAAGGAAATTTCCACTAGATCCCAGTACTCAAGATTTTGTTTAGAGATCAATCATAGGACGTAGGATTCCTCAGATTTTATGAGCACATACATATCATGTACTCGGTAGGTCTTAGCGGTATTGAGGATCGAATCTCGGCCCATCCACACCGAAGTTCGATGCTCTAACCTCTGGTTTAACCTCTTAGCCCGTAAACTAACACGCAGTATTCCAATTTCAGATACACGCTTTGTTCCAATTGAGTACATGGTTTGAACCTCCTAGCTCTATTCGACAACCTTCTTTCCCATTTAAAGCTAGAACTGGTCGCTCAGGATTTTAATGGAAGGTAGCACCATCTTTTGATAGCATTTGTCACCAAATTCCAAAATTTCTGCTTCTAAAATTTTTACAGATTTCACAATTTAAAAAAATTCTGTTTTTTCTTTCCAATCATCTATTAACCTTCGCTTCTGTGGTATTTAATTTTGAAATCGGTCACTTGTCCACTGGACACCCTGTTCAGATTAGGGAAAAACTTAAACATTAGAAATAAAAGGATTTTTTGATAATTCTTATTCTAAGAATAATTTTTTATAGATTAATATTTTTTACAGATAAATATTTTTTATAGATTAATATTTTTTTATTAATTATAAATTTTTAATATTTTTTTATTAATTATTAATTTTTTAATATTTTTTTATTAATTATTAATTTTCTAATATTTTTTTCTAAGTCATAGTATTAGAAATGAATAACCAACAAGTCTGCAAGTTGTTTGTAAGCCCTGAATTCATGCTATTTTATTACTTTGTGATGGGGTTTGCATCCGTTTTCGAACCCCTTTACGAAGATAGGACCACTAACTCTGGTGTTTTCTATCAAGGGAGCTGGAGGTAGCCGCATTTATAAATGCATAGCTATCCCAGTATACCAAAAAAAACTCTTTTCAACTGTTTAGTGGTTTCATAAAAGTTTCAACAATGAAGTTCATAAGATCAAACTTTCTCACTTTCAATCTCTTTTCCTTCTGTTGTTCTGAAACGAAGATCAACTGTTGAATGGCGTAACATGTATAATTCAGCTGAAGGAAACACTTGGATGTTTGGTGAAACAATTAACGTTGCTGGGGAAGTCGACAAAACCTGGAATGAAAATTTAATTGTAAATTTCGTTATTGGGCCATTTTATTGATAGGTTGCTAATTTCTAAGTACATACTCCTTTTTCCGTTTTAGATAAAAATTAAGTTTATATATGATAATATAATGAAATCATTTGCTTCAAAAAACTATGACGGTGGTATATGTCAAAATCTTTCGAGTACTCGAGAAGATAGAAAATAACGAGAAAATGGAAACGAGAAAAACGCAAAATGAGAAAATGGAAAAAAATTTGTACTTTTTCTTTTCCATTTTTTCGTCAACAACTTAACTGTTTCAGTTTTTGTTTCTTTTTTTATCTTTTCTTTTTTTTTTTAGAAAAAATCAGTAAGAAGGAGTTTTTCATTTTAGGCCGGACAAAAGTAAAATTATTATTTTTGCTTTCTTAAAAAAATAGTTTTTAAAATATTTATTTCATTTATTTTAGCTTTGTGTTTGTCGATGTTACATCGAAAAGTGCTTTAAATTTCGCTTGATGATAAAATAGTGATGAAAATTGCAGCACCATTCGGAAAGCAATCGAAATTTTTATCTTCACTAGGCACAGACTTTAGGTGAGATTTGAACACTCTAGTTAATGGGAAAGCGGTTGTCATTTTGATTGACGATAAATTCCTTCTGGCTATAAGAAAAACGGCAAATCCTGCTTACATCGGTTAATAAACGATGGAAACTAGCATTGTCGTGTGACACGGAACGATAGAGATTTGAGCACTCTAGCATGTTGGAAAATGGTTTAAAATTTTAATGCAAGATTATTTCTTTAACAGATGCGACAACAAGTAAACAATAACGTAGTAGTAAATTAAAATTCCTAGTAGTGCAAACTACATCTAAGAGGGTTTTCAGAAACTGAATGTTTTATGTAATAAAATAAGGAAACAATTTTAGTTTAACCTATATGGTATTTTCAACTACTAGTTTAACCGTTAATAATTTCCAAACTAATTGTCAAATCTTATTTTTTTAAAATTTCGTCGTACTCTTGTACTTTTTTTCTACTTATTTTCGTAATTTCACGTTTCTAAGTTCGATAGATTTTGTGCTGTTGAAGAAAAACTGTAATCGGATTTATTTGAAGCAGCTTTCTTCTACGTTCGCATACAATCAGAATGTCCTGATTGGACGTCGAGTTTGAGTCCAAGAAGGCTATAAATCTGTTACTCTGTTCTTTTCTATTAGTTCTTTCCCAGAACGTTTCAACTGTGTCACTCTCAGTCTGTGTAATATACTAATATATGTCATTCTCTAATACATTGATTTGTGAATTCCATTTCAGTAACTTGTGCAGCAAAGCAAAATGTAATGTGAAGCAAAAAAATGATAAAAAATTTCCAAAAAGAAATTTAAAATTGCATTAACTTTCGAACAAATTGGAATTTTGAAAAAATAAAAAACTCTGCCTTAAGTTCATAAACAAATATAGCCTTTTCAGCATACCAAATTTTAACTCTGTAGTTTTATTCCTGCTGCCTGTAGAGCGGCGATTATGGTATTTTTTCCTACAAGCTTAAGAATTAATAATTCTCGAACAAATTATTAAATGTTAAATATTTTTTTCACAGTGCACTCCTTGGACATTTTTCTACAATCCTGTGACATTTTAAGTTTCATAGTTTTTGAGTTATAAAACAAAGTGTAACGCTAAGTTGAACACTTAAAACAGCAACATCGACGGCCCTTACGAGTTTTTAATATCGAGAGAAAATTAAAAGTTACTGAAAAAGATTGATTTAAGTTTGATTTTCATTGAATTTGTTTTAAAAAAATATTTTATATATTTTATTGTATTCATTCTATTATATTTACGTTCTGCTAATAGCTACATATTTCTAAATAAAAATCTCATTCTCTGCTGTTATTCAAAGCTCAAAACAATAATTAAGTGCATTTTCCTTCAAACTGGCAATAAAAAATTATTCAGATATACCTTAATTTATGAGGTGTCCCGGGTTCGAAACCCAGCAATATCTGGTCGATACGAATTCCATACCCAGCTCGCACAGACTACAGTGCTGATGTGAAATAACCTCAGAGGTAGACGGATTATAGATTAGTATCCTCTTGCCATCATGCCAACCGTAGGTGGCTTTTCCTCTTTAATGAATGCAAATGCAGGTTAGTTCCATCAAAAAAAAGCCCACGAAGGCAATTTTTCCCAATACTTGATCCAGAGCCTCGATGGCTCAGGGGATAGAGCGGTCGCCTTCCAATGAGGAGAACCGGGTTCGAATCCCAGTCGATACGAATTCCACATCCGGCTTGCACCGACCACAGTGCTAACGTGAAATATCCTCAGTGGTAGGTGGATCATGGGTCCCCTTGCTGTCAGGCTTACCGTGGGAGGTTCTCGTGGTCTTCCTCTCCATGNAGTGCATAGCTATCCCAGTATATCAAAAAAACTCTTTTCAACTGTTTAGTGGTTTCATAAAAGTTTCAACAATAAATTTCATAAGATCAAACTTTCTCACCTTCAATCTCTTCCCCTTCTATAGTTCTGAAACCAAGATCAACTGTTGAATGACGTAAAATATATAATTCAGTTGAAGGATACACTTGGATGTTTGGTGAAACAATTAACGTTGCTGGGGAAGTCGACAAAACCTGGAAGGAAAATTTAATTGTAAATTTCGTTATTGGGCCATTTTATGGATAGGTTGCTAATTTCTAGGTACATTCTTCTTCTACCGTTTTGGATAAAAATGAAATTTATATATGATAACATAATAAAATCATTTGCTTCAAAAAACTATGACAGTGATATATGTCAAAATCTTTCGCGCAGTCGAGAAGATAGAAAATAACGAGAAAATGGAAACGAGATAAACGCAAAACGAGAAAATGGAAATAAATTTGCATTTTTTCTTTTTCATTTTTTCGTCAACAAATTAACGTTTTCAGTTGCTGTTTCTTTTTTTTTTCTTTTCCTCTTTTTAAAAAAAAAGTCAATAAGAAGGAGTTTTTTAATTTTAGGCTGGACAAAAGTAAAATTATCATTTCTATTTTTGCCTTCTTGAAAAAATAGTTTTTTAAAAATATATTCGAGGGAATCGAGGAGTTCCTTTGTCTTCTGGATCAGATACAAAAATTGGGTCATCTGTTAAACTACGGTTATAAAATAAAATTAAATTATACCTCAACTTGAGTTTTCCTGTCTTTGTAGTCTGCGGTGGATGCGGTTATGCTGCAACTTCCTTCACTGATTCCTTCAACAAAAATAGAACTTGAGAGGAGTCCTCGAATTTCCCACGCATCGCTATCTTGTGCAGAAGTATAATTTGACTCAGAAATCATTCTTAACCTTAAAATCACAAAATTTTAATAAGAATATACGATAAACATATCATATTTTTATAGTCTTGATATTATAATATACAGTCATAAGTATTAAAAATTAAAAACATCCAGATTTAATGGGCATTTATGAAGGCAACCCAAAAAGTTACGTATATTGTAAGAAATAAAAAATCTGTTTAGTTTCCTTACATTATTTTAAAGAATGAACCTTTGTCTGTTTTCCTAAATAATCGCTGAATCGGTGAATGCATTTTTGTAGATGCTGTGACAGTTTTCATACTCCCACGTCATACTGACTCCCCGCTATGTCTGGATCTCATTTTATCATCTCGTCAAAGAGTTGAACCACCAACGAGTCAAATGTTTTTATCCAATTTAGGAACTGGTAGTATTCGTGAGATCCAATGAGTATTAATGTTCCATTGAAACTATTGCATGTGAGCAACGTTTTGATGGGTGATGTGTAAGGAACGTTCGTCTTCTCCGATTTAAAATGCCCATATGAGTTTAATCGGTGTTTCACAGAATCTGACACATTTTATTATGGTTCCAGTAAGCATAAAGTTGATTTACACCAAATTCGATTGATTCTATTCCGATAACAAGGTGAAAAGTGAAGCTCACAGCTTACTCGAGAACATGGCGGGGAGCTGGTATGACATGAGTTTACAGATACTAATACAACATTTAGAACAAAGCGGTGGAGGTTGTGTAGTAAAATGTTAAGAAATGAAACGTTCAACCAATAAAACAATGCATATATGTGATAAAGATATTAAACATTTTTTTAAAAATTTTTCTAAAACCTATGAATTTTTTCAGATATTCCTTTTATGTTAAAAAAGTCATGTCTTTTCATGCTTGAATAATACAGAGAGTATCACATAAAAATCAAGGTTGGGTCAGTAAATTAAAGGTAAAGGGCATCCAAAAAAGAATAGAGGGGCTATAACCTCTTCAATGCAGTTCTAAAATTTTATGAATTTCGTAAACTGAGAAAAGATATTCACCATGGGCCTTAATTACTGTAATAATTTCATTACAATCAAGAGAAGACTAGTAAATATTTTCTCATTTATGCTAAAACTTTAACTTTAGCGATTAAACCAGGAAAGTTTAAGCATAGGGCAATTATATTTTATTTTATCACCGTCGTTGAACAGCCGACCGAATTTTGAGTTTACGACGACCAATGTTCAACTCTGTAGCCTTGTAAATTTGAAACCAATCAAGAAGACAAGGGAACTCCTGGATTAAGTACTGGAAGAAATTTTGGTTTGGTAGAGGACATTTTTATGGAACTATCCCGCATTTGTTTCGTTGAAGATAACGAAGATATTTTAAATCGCTGTGGTCGGTGCAAGCCGGGTGCGCAATTCGTATCGCCCAGCCATCGCTGGGATTAGACTCCGGGTCACCTCATTGGGAGGCGAGCGCTCTCTCCCCTGAGCAACCACGGCTTTATGTCCAGATTTATATTTTATAACCAGAGTTGAACAACCGACCCAATTTTAAGTTTACGGCAATCAACGTTCAAATTCGTATCCTTGTAATTTTGAACCCGACCCAGAGACAAGAAAACTTTGAGCACTGGGACATACTACAGTTCATGGAGGACTTTTTGATAGAATGAACGCTCATTTGCGTTACATGGAGAGGAAAACTAAGAAAACTATCCACGGAACCCATGACCCGTTTACCACTGAGGATATTTTACGTCAGCACTGTGGTTGGTGCAAGCCGGATGCGGATTTCGTGTCGATCAGCCATTGATGAGATTCGAACCCGGCTTACCTCATATCAACTTTTAACTCCCGTGATACCACGTATATTTAGTACAAAGTAAAAATTATCATAGATAATTTGTAATTTTCTATTTGTTTATTTTCAAGATATTTAAAAACCTTTTTCAATGCCCATTCCGGAAATTGAAATAAAAAGAATACTGAAATTGTCTGTGCGACCTTGGCTACATCGGACAAACTAGATGAGCTTTAAAATTTAGACTTAAGGATCACAATAAAAATGTCCGTTATCAAGAAATTATCCATTTATGCACTATGTTAGAATCTTGGGCATAAATTCAATTTCAACAATGCTAAAATTATTTCCGCCCAATACCGCAGTTTATCCTCAAGCCCAATTCATATGAATGTTGATTCTGTTAAGAACGACACTAGTTCCTCATCACTTTTCCATAGTACGTGGAGATGCATTTTACCCTGCTGCATTTGCCCCTCTCGGCCACTGTGATTTTTTTTACTCTATTTCCCATCTTCTTTCGATCTGGGCTTCTGCAGTTTTTAAATTTTTGTTTCTCACATTTATTTCCTCATTTTTCATCGGTAACTTTACCTTTTTCATTTCAAATTACTCTTATTTCTTCTCATTCTCGTTTGGCAAGTCTTGAAAATGGGCACTTAATTTTAAAATGCTTGTTGTCAAATGCTATTTGCTATTTATGTATTATTGAAGCGAATTAAGTTTTTAATTAGGTAAAAGATAATCTGGTTTTAAATTTACTCTTTTTCAGAATCAGCTCTTTATTTAAAAAATATATAAAATAAAAAAAATAAAAAAAAAAATTACTTCCAAAGAAAAATGAAACAATATTGCTATTTACATAACAATATTTATAACAAAATACTTCATAAACATTTAACTGTACAAATAATATTTAATATAAATACTGATTAAAATAATAATTCGCAATATTTATTTTAAATTAAAAAAAAGAATAAAAGAATACATAAAAAAATTAAACAAGTATGGTAACAAATAATTTCTTCAAGATAATAACGATAATTAAAAAAAATATTATTTTGATAGCAATTCAGGAGAAATTACCTTAATATTTCAGCGTCATCATTCGAGCAAGATGAATGCCATTGGAAACGAATGCCATTTATACTGTCAAACACATTTCCTGAAATATGATAAATAAACATTCAGGAAAATATTTTAAATATTCCTATCTCAATGGTTAGGAAATGATTGGGAGATAATTGTAAATTGTTTTAAAAATTGCGATTTTGGCAAAATATGATAACCTTAAGTTTCGGTAACCACTATCTTGAATTTATTGAGTGAAAAAAAAGTAAAAAGGGAAGAAATTTTAATTTACTTACTAGACAAGTGAGGTACTGTTTCGTTTTGACTGAACAGAATGAAACCACATATGTGTCAATTTAGAAATTTTAAGTTTTGTGTATACAAAGCATATTTTTTCTTCGGAAATATTTGAATATAAAACTCTCATAACTTCGTAACTATTAGAATAATTTCATAAGAATTAGAAATATTAAATGATTTTGATTAAACTTTTCAAGCGAAACAATATCTCACTTGTGTAGATAACAATGGATTAGTTTTTGCCGCTTTCGACTCCTTTTTTTTCAGTAAATTTTCGATAACGGCTAAAGTTAACTTCGGAAAAACTTCTAATGTCCATATTGGGCTTAAACCAAACGTTAACCCTTAACAGTTATCCACCCATTTATATTGTATACTCAGATCATTTTAACTCGTGGGTAGCTATTAAGAGGACACTATAACGCGCGAAAAAATGTCCTTGATAAATTCTGTTTCACCTCTATTAGTATTTAAAAATTTAAAGTTCAGAGAAAAGTGAGTTCAGGTAACCTTAGAGTAAACCATTAAGTTTCAAATGCTGAAAAAATGTTTTCAAAATATAAATGCAAACAAATCATAGCAGGAATAGTTCTCCACTGCCATAATTTGATAGCATTTTGGTTTTTTGAAAACATGTTTTCAGCATTTGAAACTTCGTGGTTTACTCTAAAGTTACCGGAATTCCCTTTTCTCTGAACTTTAATTTAAATTAAGATGAAAGAGAATTCGCTATGAAAATTTTCTCCCGTTGTATAGCATCCCCTTAGGGATTAAAAACAAATTACAGTTTACTCCTAATTTCTACAGTATTCAACTATTTGCATGATCGTAGTTGTCTTTACATTCATGATTGAAAATACTCTGTCCAGCTATTTAAAAACATGCCATTTCGATTGTTAGGAACATATTTTCGATTATTAAGAACATATCCAGGGGTCTGTCCAGACATTTTGTGAAAGGTCCGTTTTTCGTGAAATTGTGGAAAAAATTACTCACATTCTTTCAACCAGGGTCCGCTTTTATGAATTTGTGCAAATAGGGTCCGGTCCGGTTATTGCAAAAAACTTTTTCAATGAGTTTTTAAATTGTAAATAGATACAATATTATGCTCGGCACTGTAAAATTATAATTTAAAAAAAATTAATTTTCAAAAATAAACAGCAATTGCAGCTTCTAAACTAGAGATGCAACATACAAATATTTGGTATTTAGCCTATACTGCTGAACGCAGAATATTCATTTCGGACGAATAATGGAAGAATCGTCTGCCGAAGACAAAAACTTAATTCGTTTACATCCATCTTTTCTTGTTTTCAGCCCTGGGAAGGGTTTATTCGATTAACAAAACAATAATGAAGATAAACGAATTTGTGAAAGGTCCGATTAAAAGAAAAATCATTTTGTGAAGGGTCCGCTTTTAAGTTGAAATAATTAGTGAAGGGTCCGTTTTTAAGTTAAAATAATTTGTGAAGGGTCCGTTTTTATGAAAAGATATTTTGTGAAGGGTCCGTTAACGGACCTAAATTTCTTCTAAACAGACCCCTGATATCTTATTTGATAAGAGCATATCATACGCATAATTTTAAAAGAATTGATTGACTGTTAAAATAAATTTATTTATCAATAAAAGGAATAAGAAAAGCTAGGCTTAGGCATTTTAAAAACCAGTATGTTTTTATTTAAAAAGCGTAATCCGAAATGTGTTTCAAATTAAAGGATTTAAAGTGTAAATCATAACACTATCTTAATCTTCCCCTTTTTCTCAGATGAAGGAATTGTTGTTGAATCATTATTCGAATAAAAAATTTCTTAATTGATTCCATTCTTTTTACAGAATTGTTTTCTACTTCTGTCATTCTACACCTCTTTTCATCAGTTGTTCAATTGGATTAGCTTGTTTAACGCCGGTTTTAAAATTACAATAAACGCTTCTAACTGAAAAAAAGATATTCTCAAAATAGCCGACATCTGCCACAAGTGCATGGTGCATTCCTTTCTTTTGACAAACTTGGTAAACAAAAATTCGATAATTGGAGAGGGTAAATTCTCATTTCCTTAGCAGAACTCAGGAAGTAATACCTTTTAATCTCTTACCGTTTTTCTTTAATTAATCGTAGGGTTCTTCAGAACATTTAAATAGTACACATAGAGAAAATGTTAACATTAGTAAGAAAGTACTTACCGTTTGCGTTTCGAGCCTGGATAGAAATCTTCATCCATGGTCCATTAATGTGAACGTGCTCAAACATGTTTTGTAATTCGATTGCATGAAGTACGTCCGTAAACACATCGCAGTGTAAATGAACAGTTTCATCATCTTGAGAAAAATATATTTTATTAAAGGATTATTTTCTTTCTCAAATGTGAAGCATGCATTAAAACAAAAATAAATTAAAAACTTTATTGATTTTATTAATTTTACTATTCATGAGAAAGAGGTATGGAAGAAACACTGTCTTTTGACCAAGACATTTTTGTTTATAACTCGATTACGTATTATATCTCTCCTTGTTAAAAAAAATTTTTTTTTTTTTAAACTACATCTTCACCGTTTCTATTGCTTTCCTTAAAGTTAGATTTCTTTTATTGCTGTTCAGAAACTATAAGACTATGCCGCACAAAAACTATATCTAAAATTTTGAAAGTTGGTGGGAAAATGTACAATGCTCAAAAAAATAAACGGATCCCCCTAAATAACTTTTTGAGCTAATGATCGGATCTTCATATTAATCTTAATGGGTTGAACTGTGGACTTGTAAAAATGTAAATTTTAAAATATGTCTTTTTCCAAATCCGATTTCTCAAGAACTATTCGATTGATTTCGCTCAATTTTTCTATTTCGCAATTAGAATTGCATTTTTTAAAATGGTGTAAAATATTGCTATATACAATTCAAGTTTTTTTTTAGTAATATTAAATAAAACATTAAATAGTTACTAAAAGTCACATTTTGTATGGAATTATCTTTAGAGAAATGAATTTTACAATCGTGTTTAAACATTTTTCACTCCTCTTTAAAAGTTCTTGACATATGGGGAAATACGGAAAAAGTAAAATTAACATTAAGGGACTTAGGACCACTCTCCTGCCCAAGCTCTGGTGATCATTTTCCCAAATTGTGGATATCCCCTATATTTTTGGGGTCAGAAATCCATATCCGTCGAAAAATAGGTATGTTTATTCAGAGAAAGCAACTTAAAATATTGTCTGTGCTAATTAATTAGAATATTTGAGGTTACCCCTTTTAGCCGTGAAGATTGAGTCCCAGAACGTGAAGATCTGATCATAAGTTACTTAGAGTGGTCCGTTCTTTTTTTTTTTTTTTCTTCATCTTTTTTTTGCACACTGTACACCTATGATACTGTACCTCAATGATAACAAATATAGTAAAAATGCATCAAACATTTACTATATTTTTTTCATTTATAAAATTTTTGTCTCTTTAAATATAAATTTAAATAATTCTCAAGTATAAAAATTGTAATATAACTTTGCGAAGCAAATTTGGATCAAAAGTAATTCAGATTGTTGATTCTTTTCCCTTAAGTTTTAAAGTTGTACTTGAATGTATCAGATTCGTTAATTGCAGTAAATCAGAATAATGGATTGCAGTAGATTACCTTTATGAATTGCAGTAATTCTTGTTCTTCTAATAGAAGTATCGTTACCGATGACAGAAATTACAGCTTTTTGAGAGCATTGGTTAAGTGGTGAATCAAACAGAGGAGTTACCGTTACTAAACTGGAATCCGCTGATTGCCTGTAAAAAATCAAAGTGTATTAAAATATTGTAATCCAAAAATTCATCATACAAAATCAGAAGAAAGTCTGCATCTAAATTAAATTTATAGATTTACAATATAAAGGTAATTGTTTTTGTCTGGCTGTAAGCCAAAACTTATTTGAAGGAATTAAATTTATTTATTTAAATTTATTTTATTAAATTTATTGATTGAATTAAATTTATTTATAAGAGCGAGAAAACATTTCAAAAATAAACTATTTTTAGAAATATCGTCTGATGCTCATAACTTGACTTGCATGACGCACAAGCACCAACAGAGAAGTGACTTGAAGTTAATAATATGTGTCGAACAACTTTTTAAAAAAATCGTCTGCAAATTTAAATTTGAAAATAATGTCAGAAAAGTTTATTTGTCACTCAATATATATATATATATATATATATATATACAGTGAAATCTCGGTTAAGNTATATATATATAAAATTATTTTTTTAGTCAGAAAAATATTTTTAATAACATCTGCTCTACAATAAAAAGATCGTTTGTCAAAAAAACCGTCGAAAATAAATCCATGGAATTAGTTTACCCATCATAAAATAATTCCGAATAGTTTTCTGTAATATCGTCTGATTCTGTTTAGACCTGACCTCTCATGGTTAGACTCTGATCATGATCAATTTTTCCTCACTGCTTACAATATGGCTAGCAAGTACCCCTATTTTCTAAGGTGACTGAGGCAATTATGAATTTTTAGATCTAAATTGTAGTTAAAAAGTACTTGAAAAATATATTAATTTAAAGATGAAAAAAAACATTGAAATAATGTGCACCTATTCTATTGTATTATTAACAGTCCTATAAAAAATTTTGCAGAAAAGAATTTGAAGGAAATGGTTCTAGCAAAATAACAATGAAGAATATTAAAACATGTGTTCCATATAACATTTCGCAATAGCATTTAAAAAAAGAAACACAATAATTAAATATAAGTTAAATAATAAAAAAAATATGCTACCAATTAAGTGATTATTTTTTATTTCATCATGTTTAAAATTAAATCCCTTTTTTAACTTTCAAATTACTTAAGGATCTTTTCATTACAATTAATAAAATATTTTTAATACTTTGTATCACGAATAATTTAATAAGATCACTGTGGAATTATTTAGTTGGAAATTAATAATAAAAGGCGCGAATGATGGCGACATAGATATAGCACTTGCATATGAAGGTATATAACAGGAACGAAATTTTGAAATGACTTTAAAGTCTTTCTTCTTTCTTTACGGGTAGGTAGGTACTTTATTTACGTAGCACTGGAGCTGTACATTGGGCTATTGGCGTCAGTCTGGGAAACAACAGTACGGATGAACTGAAGACATGCCATCGCAATTTTGATCATCTGCTGAGGGGATGGCTTCCCTGCTTTAGTGGCCCGACGATCTCCTCGCGAATTCCAGCATTTTACGGTAGAACAGTTTAACGAAGTTCGATACTTCGCACCCTCGGTCACTACGCAGACTGATCAAAGTGATCACCCACCCACTTACTGACTGCAGCCAGCGATGCTTGACTTCGGTGTTTTACTGGGAACCGTGTCTTTACGATCAGTTCACTGCATTTGTTGAAGTTATTAATAAAGTTTTCTGTGCAATACTTATTTATCATTGGCTCTCTAGTTTCTTTTCTTTGTTATTACTTTTTTTTTAAAGTTCATGAGAGCCTCTTCTGGTATTGAAAGTGTTCATTCTCACGGCCTAAGATAAGAAGGAAAGGCCAAACAGACAATTGTTCGTGAATCCAGAGGGGTCTAGTTTTGCAGTGGAGTAGCTAACGGACCTAAAGGAGAGACATGTGTCCCAGGGCGATATTCATGATAAAAAAATAAGTAAAAATGAATTCTAGAATGTTTTTCTCTTTTCAAAGCCCCCCCCCCTACTGTTTCTTTTGCAAATTATGAGTCTAATTTTCACCCCATTTTTTTAAAAAATTAAAAAGGATGTCTATTATTTTAACTTTTTTTTAAATAAATTTTTTGTAAATTGGGGCGAAGCATTGAATGAAAAATGCGTTTAAAATAAACGCTTATTATTCAATAAAAAACAACAAAAGCTATAAAATTTTTTAAAGGTAATAGAAACTACAATAATAACGTACTTAGTTGAATTCTAAATCTAATCGAAATAACGTCTTTACGTTGTCGAGTTACGTTGACTAAAAAAAAACAATTTTTAATGTTGAAAAATTTTATTCAACGCGAAATTTTACGAATGAATTAATTTTTTTATAATCTGAAACTTAAAATGGTCCCGAAAAGCAAGCCGTTTTAAGTCTATCATTATATCATTTATATAAATATATATAATAAATATCAGAAGGCGCAAAATCTAAATTTGTCCCCCGGCGCTGAAAGCCCTAAGCTACGCCTCCACATGTATGATATATAAAACACGACATATCTCTGTTTTTAATTATAAGTTTTTGAAATAGAAAATTATTCAATGTAGTTAAATTATTAGTTTTTAATTTTTTAATATGACTATTTGGTGAAAGGACAAACTTTTCGAGCAAGCTCTTCTCAAACTTAGGTCACAATCTCAGATAAAAAATATGCAAACATTTCAATGTTGTGTTTATATCATTATATATATATGGCAAAAATTGCAGATAAAACATTTGTTGATGGTTGTAGATTTATTGCATTTAGAACACATTTTTTTTTATACATTATTCTTTGAAAATTTTGATAACAAATTATATTTTTTCAAATATTTCAGTGCTAATTGCATAAAGAAGTAAACAGTAGATACAGAATTTAACATTTCTTTTTCCTTCTGAGCGCTTAATAATAGAAAAAATTGTAGTTTTTAAAGTAGTTTTAAAGATGAAACCGTTTTTGTCAGTGTTTAGGGTCCGTTAGTTCTGTTGCATTCAGTTGAAGCATAATAAAATTGCGTCATACATGTCTAGGAATAATTAAAAGGAGAAAAAAAGTAAGAAATAAAATAAAATAAACACACTCACCAATTAAAACAGTCTTTAGTATTAGTTTCACTGATCACTAAAGTAAAATTTGAAGGAAGATCATACATGTAATTGATCAGTATAGTCGGTGCATTTAGTTTAAATCCATGAACTGAATAAACAATATGCACAAATAGAGAAATTGACAATATTTTCATAAACAACATGTCGGCCACGTGGAATTACAACGAATTGCATCCGTCTTTTTACAGAACTGCCTGACAGATAACCTAAAGCCGGTTGGGTGAATCTTGGAAAAGAAATGTGCCCGATCAGAAACAAAAAGAAAAACTAAATAAAGAAAAATAGAACCTGTTCCGCAGCGCACCGTTACGTGAACTCAGGCAATCAAGGTCAGTAGCATAAAAACGAAACTACATTTTCGTTCACTTTATGGGGGAGGGGAATTTATGCTTCTAAGTTTTGCTTTGCTGTTGTAATATTTCATTTTTTATTAATATAAACCGAGGCCGAACGAGTGGACAATATTTTTTCTTTCTTTTCTTTTTCATTGTCATGGTCCTTGTCAATAAAGAACGTTGAACTTATTATTTTGGGTTCTTCAACCATTGAGACACTGTAGTGGTTTAAGAACAGAGTCGTCGCAAACTAAATAAACTGAGGGGGCTGCTAGAAAATTTGGTTCCTAAAAGTTAACGCATTTTCGCGGCTCTGAACAATGACATAAAATATGTATTTATTTCGTTATGTAGCCTTTAACATATAGTTAGTGCTTTTAACTTCAGTTTTATGTACACTTCAGCCTAATTTTTTATTTATCTCTTAAAAAAAATCTTTTTTAGAAATAAAAACTTAAAAGGAAACTTTAGAAATAAAACTTATATTCTTATAAATTAAATGAAATTTAATTTATAAAAATTACAAGCAAATTGTAAATAATTTATTTATAATATAATTTATTATATTATAATTTATAAGCACTTCAGCATCCAAATAGAGTCACGGTGCTGCCATCTAGAGTGTCAGAAACTAGACGTCCAAATTAACATGGCCAACGGTATCTCACCCATTGTGGTGGTCCTGAAAGAGTGCGTACCACTTCTGGAGAACGCACTAGGTCTGCTCATCGGGAAGACTGATTATACAGCTCATTGGAAATAAAAAAAATATTATAATTTATTTATAATATTTTATTTTATAATTATATATTATAAAGTAAAATAGTTAAAATAAATAAGGCTATTGAAAACTATAATAAATGTTTAGTAATTAAAAATAATTATTAGCTACCTTTTGAAACGCTTGCAATACTAAACAAGAAAAAATATTAATAAAAATAATTAATAAATTAAATAATAAAATAAACTAATAATAAATGAAATACTTAAAAAATACTTAATACCTGCGAAAAAAAAATTATAAATTTTGACTCTTCTTCATGGGGAATATGAATAAATGTTAACACTGAACGAAAACTTTCTTTTTAGTTTATCATGCTTTTCAAAATTAAACAATAATTGATTTTTTTTTTGTTTCATTTGAATCTGAAAATTTTTTAAAGTTAAAGAAACCGTAACTAAGGCAGGTGGCGTATCTCCTTCTGTTTGTTAACAGAGGTGGCTATCAGAGAAAAATAACTCGTAAATTTTGAACTTGGTTGTTTTATTTTAAATTTGAAAGTTCAAGTAGAAATATACTTATACAATCATTTGTAAATACATTTCCTTTCAGTAATATCTTACTAAAACGTTTTATTGGAAGTAGTGTTGCAAGAAAAAATTATAAATGTGTGTCTTAAAATGCATTTCTTTTTTTTTAACATTTAACACAAATAATTTCACAATAATAATCAAATTATTCAATATTTTTCTTTTCGAATGCCCGCCTGTGTTAACATCCGTCAATTCAGGCATCTACAGGGCGATTTTGTTGACCTCTCTTACAGGGGCACCGTATGAAGTGGGCCAACGTCGCTCCCACAGTAAGGACAGAGAAGGAAAAAAAATCCATGCCTTGCCCGGGATTTGAACCCAAAACCTTTCTGATGCTGATATATAATGGATTATTAGTTGAATGCAAACCTGTTACTGGTTTCAAAAATCATTATCAATTAAAAGAAAAGTCTTAGAACTCACGGAGAAATAGGGTTCTGTGGAACACTTTTTGGGAACCGCTGTGCTAGGATATTGAATAATCGGGAAAGATTACTTAACAAGTAAGGAGAGACATTATTTATTCAAAAGTTTGTAAAATCAGATCATTAATTCTGTTCAAAGTATTTTAAGTTCTCTACTTATCTTAATGTAATATTATTTTCATTTTAAAAAATGCAACTTTCATATAACTAATAAAATTAATTTTATTTCTAATTCGTGAAGGATCCGTTCAAATGCTACGTAAACTCTTTTCAGTAGTTTTGGATTCCTTCAACCTTTGTTAGCAAGAAAAAATATGTAACTCCCCCCCTTGTTTTTTGAACGAACTTGTACTTTTTTTCTAGCAATCTAATTTTAAGATCAAACTTAAACGTTTTTTTCCAGTTTTCTTCTTTTCAAATATAAATTTCATTTTACATTTGAATTTATTTTTAAAGTATATTCTTTTTCAAATGTTTTGCTTTCTTTTATTGCATCTCTAAGAAAATTGAAATACGAAGATAACTGTAGTTTTGCGTAAGCATCGTTCATACAACTCTTCTCCCCCTGTCAGAAAAGATTAGAAAAATCGCAACCCCTTACCTTTTTTTGGCCACCCCTCACCCCCAGATTTTTTTGAGTGACCTCTAAATTTTTTACCCTTTGTCAGAAATGATTTGAAGTACCAATTCTTCCCGTTTCATTGGGCGTAAAAACCTGTAAAAAAGTCAATCGAAAGGTTATTTCATGAACTTATTATTAAATAATTTATATAAAGTAAGTTTTTCATTAATAATTATGGAAAAAGTTCATAAGTTTGAGGTAGTGCTTTCATAAAAGTTCGCAAATAATATATATTTCTTATTAAACATGGTGATTAGTAAAGATTGCCTTTAATTTATGATTTTAGATTCCTTTCTGAAACAAAGTAAAAATTATCTGACAATAATTGAGCAGGAAAAGAACTGAGGAATAATCACGTCTGAGGAAAGCGGGATGAAAAGTCCCAGACTCGTTTGATTGCAGGAGGAAATGGAAGGCAAATGCTGGAAACACCTTCAAGTCTTTCATCACAATCAAATGAGGTTTGAAATTTTCAACCTGCGTCCTCCACTATGTGTTGTTGTTTTGGGTCAACGTAGTCATAAGGAGTCCAGCCAGTGTAGTGGCACAGAATCTATTTAAATGTATGTTTCCGTCTATTTCAGTGAGAAAACATTTCAGACATATTTATGTGGTTTGGAAGTGTGTTATAGAGACTGGTTACTAACTACGAACATTTGCTTTCTGGACCATATTGCTTAAGTTTGTGTACACATGCGCTAGTATTTTTTTAGAATCATCAATAAGAATAAATCTCTTCGCATAAATAATGAGGAATTCATTCCGTAGTCAATAGCTCATCGGTTTTATCAACCAAATTGATTTAAACTCCATCGACTAAGGGACGAACCTAAGACTTTAATTGAAACAGTTCGCATTTCTTAATTTCTTGGCCACTCCTGATTTACCATTCTATTCTACATATATATTTTTCCTAAAACATATGCTTTTGTAGAAAAGTGTTTCGTATAAAATACGCCATTTTAGTCATGGTCAAGCTGAAAAACATATAACATAAATTAAAAACACATCCAAGGTTAAGTCAGGAATCGAACCCACTACCACCACTCTACAGATAGATCGAGTAGAGAGACCTCTTCTTTTTACTCTCGCTTATATCAAAATTATCTATATCGAACTTATAATTTTTTTATTAATTTTTTGGATGATCTTACGTATCTTGAGAGGTGTAGAATGAAGTAAAAACTAGTCGCATAAACTATTAAGGAAAACTATCATGGAAAATTACTTTAACTATTGCTATTTGGGACTCATGGTTTAAGACTATGCAGTCAGCGTGCTTGAAAAAAATGATGAATGGGTAGAATTGCAGGGTGTTCAGTATTCACCCCTTTTTATGCATAAATTTTGCATTACTTGTGAAAAATGAAGTAATCAATATTTAAACGTTATCGATATGAGTTAAATCACTATTGAGAAAATAGTAGTTATAATAGTACTTTATTTACGTAACACTAGAGCTACACAACACGCTTTGGGCGACGTCCTAGGAAACATCCCTCATCACAGTTTTGATTTTTTGGCATGGGGATGGTTCCCCTGATTTGATAGCCCGACGACTACCACGCGAAGTCGATCACTTTACTGTAGAACATGATGTAACGAGGATGGATACCGTACAGTCTCGGTCCCTTCGCAATTTGATAAAAGTGGTTACACACTTACTTACGGATAGTTTCAAGCGATGGTTGACCTCCGTGATCTACTGGGAAACATGTCTTAAGATCAGTCTACGGTGGGACCAATTGAGGCAGGTGAAGTGAACTATGACACTAAAACTGGTTTGATTGACTGTTGAAAAGTGTAGTTGTTTCTTACAATCACTTTTCAACTCACAATCTTACAATCACTTTTCAGTTTGCACCGACAATCAAACAGATTTTCAGTTTTTAGTCCTCTTTTTTCTTAAATTCTGATTCGTTAGATCAGACTAGTGTGTTTTTTTTTTCTGCTTAAATTGTAATTGTTTTTATCATTACAGTTAATTATTATTTTTTTTTAAATTTCTCCTTAGATCAAGTCAAGATCAAATGCATCTTATTACAGGCTGAAAACAGTTATTAAATTAAAAAAGGTTCCCAAAATTATATATTCTGTATTGACGTTTGTAGATACGAATAATTTTCCATTCCATCCATGCGAGAAAATAAAAGTGTCAATTTCGGTACCGAAGATAAAAGAAAAAAAGAGAATACTTTGTTATTATTATTATTTTATTTTTTTATTATTACGAAATGGAATCCGCGATTTGCTTCTGAAACTCCGGTGTTTCAAACTATATTCTATTTCCTTTTCCCAAAACAATAAATTTTTCAAACTACTCCTAACATATAACTGTTCTAAAATAACTGTTACGTATCTTAAATATGATAAGTAATTCCCCATCCGCAACAGTTCTCAAAATATAACCGTTCTAAAATATCTGTGACATAAAATAACAGTTCAATTCTAATGCAATCAAAATATTAAAAAAATGAATTAAAACAAATTGAAAGTAAATACTGAGTTGTAAGTCAGAATTCCGAATGAGCGATAAATCTCAGCCTTAATGATTTTCAATGCCCTATCAAAACAAAACAATTCAAAAGTCGACTTTTAAGCGAGGTGAGTTATGTTTTTCAATTATTTCCATTCTAGTACAAATTAATTTAGCCAAACTCTTCGGAATATATAGTATCTTGTATATTCTTATATTCTAGTAAGTGCAATTGAAATAAGCGTTTCTGTTCTACTGTAGTTATTTTAATTTTTAGACAAGAATACTTTACGATGATTAGCATTAATTTTTTAAATTTCAAATCTGAATTGTATTCGTATTTTTGTATTATGAAGGTCAATGAAAGGAGATTATTTGAAAAATAGGATTTAAGAAATTTAATGTTAAAGAACTTATTCTGATAATTAAATATGTTAAGCTGTTTTATGGCTTACTTGGACGAACATGTTTTAATTTGTAAACAGAGTTACATTTCCAGTTGATAGACATTCTTTACAATTAGAATTCCGTGAAGGAATTCCAGTTCTGTTTTAAATATACAATGCTCAAGTTTTTCTAAATAATGAAATAGTAACGAATGTGTACTATTTAATTAAAATTTTGATTGAAAAAATAAAATGTGATTTTTAAATACATTTATTAATGAAATTTCAGGACAATATTATTTAAACAGAAAAAAACAGTTGAACCACAAGTAATTATTAACTAACAAGTAATTAGTTAAAGATTTGAAAAATCATCCTTTCCCAAAAGTGACTTTTCAGATTTCGATAGCATTTTTATATTTTTCTGTGTTAAATACTATTTTGCACTTTCCAAATTGTAGAATACATTTTTGAAGAATTCTTAGCAATGATTATGTTTATATTTACGTAATTTTATTACCGAGTATTTTGAGCTCAAAATGAGTTGAAACCTTTATAATTTTCATGTACTATATTGTAATTTCGATTGTATTGGTTGGTGTGATCGAAAGTTTAATAAATTAGCTTTCCCTTATATGGGTGATTCTCACGAAATGTGACAATTTACAGTCTCTCCAAGTATCTACAAATTACAATTTGCTCCAAGATCTAATTCTATACTACTAAAAGAAATTTTTTTTAAAATTTTAATAAATAGCATTGCTGTTAGTATTTTAAAATGACCTTGTAATAGCATTGACTGTTTTGTATATTTAAAAAAAATTGGTTGAATTTCAAAATGTCATTTTTCTTGTATGTCACAAACAATATTTCAATAATAACTAGCTTCAAAACTTCCCATAAATTCTTCAAAATCTAATTTTTTTTTATCTCAACCGTTGTAAGCATTTCTCGAATGCATGCAGAGGGTATTATTTCCTATAACTTTGTGGAAAATAATTTTTTCTGTTAATAATTTGTTTGTCACAAGAAAATCTNAACAATATTTCCAATAATAACTAGCTTCAAAACTTCCCATAAATTCTTCAATATCTAATTTTTTTTATCTCAACCGTTGTAAGCATTTCTCGAATACATGCAGAGGGTATTATTTCCTAAAACTTTGTGGAAAATAATTTTTTCTGTTAATAATTTGTTTGTCACAAGAAAATCTGTCATTTTCCTGGCTACTTTTATTTGGTGATTCATAATCAAAATAGATAGCGCCAGAAGTTAATAGATTGATTAGAATACCGTCCTATCTTAGCATGTCTTATTGCATGAATAAAGAACCAATTTTCTGGTTCGAAACCTACTTCAAAAATTTTTTCAAGGTGAGTAGGTTTTTATGTTGTCATTTTCCTGTCTTCTTAAAATCATTAGTAACATAAACTACATGGATTTACCTGAGTTATTACAAGAAATCCCGTTGTTTTCTGCGGAATGTAAACATCTTAGGCCGAAATGTTAAATTAAAGTTAAAAGCTATATAATGGCAAATTGTCATTTTCCTGGCTAATGAATGCCAGGACATTGAAATAGTTACCAGAAAATTTTTTGAACAGTTGAATGTAAAGAGAGAAAGGAAATATTAACCTAATACCAAGTTTATATAAGATTGTAATATGCTTGAATGTAATCAAAGTTATTTTTTCCTATTTAATGATTTATTATTATACACAATTTTATTCTGTACGTATCGGCAACAAAAACATTTTTGATTCTTTCTACAGCGGATAAAATTAATTTAAGTGATTCATGGTCCATCTAACGCAAAGGCTTAAGTTGAGTTACTTACTATTAGCTTAAAATGACTGTTTTTCGTAACTTCTAAGCTAATATGTCATTTTTCTAGCATTCAAAATTTGATGAATTTCTATTTTTTTTTCTTGAGCAAATGTCAATAAATTACACTGCCGTCTGTAAGATATTAATAAATGTAACTAAAAAAATATACAAAAAAAATTTAAGTTATTTTAAAGACTTTAAATTTGAAGAAATCTTTTGTTCCGAATTCTCATGTTTCCAAAGAATCAACTATATACCCTTTTTTAACACAATAATAAAAAACTCTAACTCTGAAGCTAATATATTTTGGGCAAAAATTTTTTTTAATAACTAGTTTTTTGTTGTTTCTGTAAATAAAGAATGAAGAAGTGTTTGTAAAACCGAGTACTTTTAAATTTTATATCCTAGAATGAGTTAATTAAATATCTTTTCGTGTTTTAAATTTTAAATCGTAAATTAAAAACTTTTATTTTTATATTATCATAAATATAATATTAATACAGTCCTTGAAAATGTAATTGCATTTATTGAAATAATTATTGTTTATAGAAAATTGTGAATACGATTTGCTAATAAGATTGATTGATCCTGATTGGTTGTTTTTTTCAATTCTATTTCGAGTTAGCCAGGCCTGTCAAGTATCAATTTTCTTAAGTGGTACGTTCCATATTCTTTCACAAAGATTTCAATTCTTACTCTATATTATTGTCACTACATTATATATTCACTATATTATTTTCACTATATTTCTTAACACAAAGACAGGCATGAAGTCATGTAGAACATAAATTATTTATGCCTTGAAGTTGTCAGATACTCAAGAAAATATATCAATAAAATCAGGGTATCTGCGCACCTGGAAAGTCAGGAAAAATCATGGAAAGTCATGAATTTCGGTATTGAACAAAATTTGTCAGGAAATGTCATGATTTTAACTATTTTTTTGAAAAAATCATGGAAAGTCATGGATTTAGGTAGCCGTAAAATCTGATTTTTAAAATCTCCAATTTCATGATGTTCCGAATATTTGAATTTGTAACAAAATCGCCACTTACAGTCATATTTTCTTAAAATCTAAAATGTTTTGATCCTGTTCTTTAAAAATTATGGTGTTCTTTCAAAAAATGAAAGAAAGAACATCATTTCTAAAGCGAATTATCTTTTAAACTTCTCTGATTTCAGGATTTTTTTATTTATTTTTATTTTATCAATTTAAAATTCTTACTGAAGCAAGCCAGTCACTGGCGATTTTTTTTATTCCAAAATGAGAACAGAAAAATCAGGAGCGTTTCTTTCCTTTCAGACGAACAAGAAAAGTATCTTTAGGATATAACTCAGCAGAAAAAGAAATTATTTCCGTTTATATTTTTACCAGTTATTTTATTGCTTCAACTCTTTCTTCACTCTGTTTTTCAAATTTAAAATCTATAAGTATGAAAATGCAGAATATAAGAGTTTTGGTAGTACCTACCATTTCAATTAATGTTGTTATAATGCTTTTTAAAATTTATTGGTGTGTTTTTGTCATGAAAAATTCTAGAAATTATTCATGAAAAGCCATGAATTTAAAAATACATAATGTAGCAGATCCTGCAGAAACAAATCAGTAAAATATATAAAAAATAATAAATTTAAGTTAAGTAAAAGACGTACGATACTAAGTCTATTTGGATACTGAACTATACTATACTAAGTCTATTGAGATATTTTCTGGGTGACTGATGTTACATATTAATATGCTTTTTTATTTTTAAACTTTTTTCTCATTGCTAAATATTTAATAAATTTTTTATAAAAATATATAGGATGTTTTCAAATTGCTTAATATTATTAGGCATGTAAGATTGTTATTATTATGCAGAGAAAAATGAATGAAAAATTTTAATGTTTAATTTAGAATAAAAATATAAACCTTGACTGACGTTGCATAGAAGCAACATGGTGTAAAATATATTTTTAGTTTCAAATTCTCCTTTTTCTAAGCGCAATAATAGTATTATTATTTTAAATTATTTTAAAATAAACTTCAGATTAACAGGTAACATTGTAAATACACAAATGAAATCACATACATCAGTGAAATCACATATATCAGTGAAATGATAATATTGAAATGACATTTATATATCATCAACATATATTGATAGGAAATATGAATGAAATCACATATCTCTTGCGTATAACTATAGAGCTATGTGTCACAATAGCTCTTGTGACCCCAATGTTACAATTTTTATTTGACTTAGGCTTCAAATACAAGCTAGATTAAAATTTTATTAAACTTTTTTTTTTTACAAAAAACTTCATAACTGCAATTTTCGATTTTACACCCAAAATGAGTAATAAGAAATTGAGAAATTTGTTAATTTAAAGATGTTATTAAATCTTTATTTTTTGATTTGCTGTCTTTATGGAATTTCCATTTCTGTACCTTTGTTTCTGCTTTATTCAAGTAATTTTACCTTTTTTTATACGAAACGTAGAGTATACCCTATTCTCAATTGGAAAAATATCGATTGTTATTTTTTTATTTCAGCGTATTCCTGTACATTTTTCTAAACATAATCGTAATTTCAAGTTTCTAAGTGCTATAAATTTTGCCCCGCAAAACAAAATGTAAAGATGAGCGTCCAAAGCAGCGACAGCGTCGCTACAATGTTTTGATATAGATGTGTATTTTTTTATTCTTTTTTTGCCATATTTTCGGAATATGCAATTTCTGATCCCCACTTGGTGATAATTTAGCAGATTTTTGTAATTTCATTCTAAATTTAGATACTATAACTGTCAGTGTATGGTACGCAAAGATCTGGTTTCGAGTTTTTATCACATATGCATCTAGAACAAATTAATTCGGAATATACATTGAGAACACACGAGTGACCACTTTAGTGAGTAAAAATCTGACCATGAAATCAAGAGTTATTATGAGGACGCCATGTCGTAAGAGAAACTTTTTATGACTGTCTCCCTTCCATTACTATTTTAAAATTTTAAGTTTAGAGAAAAATGAATTCAGATAAATCTAGAATAAACCATAGATTTGCAGGAAAATTTTATCAAATTGCCAACAAATCAAATCAAATGCTGGTAAAATGTCATCCCAATGCAATCAAATTATGGCAGGATAAGTTTTCCACTGCATGAACTTGAGTAATCCTAGCAATGCAAATAATTATGAATAATCCTATTAATGCAAACAAATTATGGCTAGATTAGGTCCCCACTGTAAGAGCCGCAATTTGTTTGCATTTCTTTTAAATTCAGCATTCGGTCATGATTTATTCTTGGTTAAGCTAAACTCCTTTTTCCTATACTATCACTTTTAAATTAAGTTTGAAAGTGAAAGAGAATATTATATGAAGGGTTTCTTCCACAGAGTGTAGATTGTCTATTCTGTTCACTGATATTCATTTCGTTTTTTACTTGGCACGTTTTTCATTCATTCGTTATTCATTATTCTTTGCACGTTGCATTCTTTTCCCACTTCTAAGTTTCTTTCTTCTGTGAAGTTATCTACTTCTGCAAAAGCGGTAAAACTTATTCATTAACAAAAGGTTCAGTAATTGTTTGAAAATCGAATTATACGAATATTTTACAGTAAGAATGTAACGAATATTCGGTCCTTTTTACCGAATATTCTGTTGACCGAATGTTTGGCGAAATACTCGGCTAAGTATTTTTGTAATAAAGTATTGTTCGGCAAAGTTTTTTTAAAATTTAAATAGATTTAATAAAGAGTAATCTAAAATATTTTATTACCAAACATTTCTTGAAATAGTTTCTACGCGTATTTGTTAAATTCTATAACTTGCAAATTTATGTTCTGAAAGACAATTGAAAAAGCTGAATTTGAAAATTTTCAACTAGATTACTTTATAATGAACCTCGAGTTTGTACGACTGATTTTTTAAAAATTATATTCTGGCAAGTCAATATCGTCGCTTTTTGTTTTAAGAAATTAGAATGTTTTTTTTTTCTGCTTCGTTTTAGCTGTTTTTTTGTTGTTGTGTTTTTTATTATAGCGCAGCATTTAACTAAGTTTCTATAGATTTAATTCCTTTATTATAAATTTTTTTCATGCCCGGTAAGACTAATAACTGGTAACATAAAGCTGTTTTTAAACGTTAATGTTGTATTTTAAGAACTAAGAACAATTTTTGTTTAAATTTCTCTTCTGCTTTCTTACGAATTTTTTCTTTTTATCAGCGTTTTTATTCATGACATAGGATTTTTCAAAGGGTGTTTCTAGAGAATTGCATTTGTTTATCGTCACTTTTTTCTTAAAGTTTTGCAACCTGAAAAATTTAAATTGGGATTCTTAGCGTTAAATTTTTCGTTTAAGAATTAGGAACGATTTTTGTTTTGGTTCCTATCTACCTTTTCTCTTTTAAAAAGTTCATTTTTAAAACTTTTAAAAAAATTTTGCTTAAGAAGACTCTTTAATTTTGGGGCAGCAATTAAGTGGGTTTGGATTTGACTATTCTTTTTCTTCATATTACAGTAATTTGAAAGTTGTGATATTCAATGTAAAAATTTTCTTTCAAAAATTAAGATCAATTTTTGTTTCTCCAGTTTCGTTTTTGCATAAAATCTTTTTCTGGGAGTTTTAATAACAGCAAGGAATTTCTAAAAGTTAAAGTTGTTTTATGGATACGTTTTTCGGTAAAATATTATTTTTAGCATTAAAGTTCTATTCAAAGAATTAAGAGGATTTTTTTTCCATTTCACTTTTTTTGAACAACTTTTTTTTATTAACTATTAATCAGTTTTTTTATTTACCTTTTCTAATGAGTAACTATTACAATTTTTTCCCATAACTCCATACCAATAATATTGTTAAGTTTTGGTTTATTTTTGAATAATGACTTAACTTATTTATATTTAATTAAAATAAAAATTTTGCTTTTCGGCCACCGAGTAATAGGTATTCGGCCGCTTTTTTTGCCCGAATATTTAGCTATTCAGACAAATCATTATTCGTTGCATCCCTACTTCACAGTGAAATAGCACAGTATTATGGATTAAACTAAGGAAAAGTAAGTACCTTTTACTCTTTTAATTTATAAAATTAATTTGTTTTTTGAAAATTTGATTTTACTCATTTGTATTAGAATTAGACGCCTAAAGCAAAAAAATGCTTAAAATAACTTATTTTTTTGAGCTAAACTACTTACGTCTACTTCCCAGGTGAACATGTTTGGATAAAACTTGAAAATTTTCTATGGTCTGAATAGCTTGTTTCATTGTGAAGACATTTATGCATTATTTAATATTTAACTAATTGAGGTTAATTTTTTTGTGTGGAAAATATTCATTTAAAAATCATAATAATTTAACCGGTAAGAGTTAGTTTTCAATGATACCAGCAGAACCTCTGCAATAATCAAGTTTTGTTGCAAAACATTCTAATCATGTTAACTAGAATAGGCGTTTCAGGGTAATGCAATTTTCCCACTCTTTGCACTTTTCCCCTCCTTCCTTCGTTACCACTGATGCGTTAAAATCCAACTTCTCACTTAAACTTACTGGAATAGTAAAAAAACAAAATGTTCCGAAACCATGATAACGGAGAAAGGAAAATTATGGAAAGTGGGTAAATCGTGTAACCTTGGAAGGCCTATTTTATTTAAATAGAGTGTTTAGATGACTTGGACTTGGTGGACTTGGAATAATCTGAAATACCTTTTTGATCTAAGTCTTATTTTGAAGGTATTGCAAAATAATATACATGGAAGAAAAGAAAGATATTGTGTCACTTTAGATGGGAGTCGGACGGGAAATTAGCACGGATTATTTGAATAGGAAGTAGTTTGGGTTTGATTTTGACATTTTAACAAACATTCGTTTGTTTAAAAAAATGCAAATTGGGTTTAACAATAAATAGGCAAATTGATGAAAAGAAATGTAAAACAAACAAAAGGTATTTTGCAATTTAACCAAACTTGCACTTAAAACTTGGCTTGAAGTGAAATTTGGAAAAATAACTAGGTCGGTTGAATTTTATATTTTAAAGACGGATTTACCATACGCTACATTACGTTTAAAAGCTTGCACTGAATTTCAATTTTTGATTGATAGTGTTAAACAGGCTGTAGTACTAAATTAGAAAAAACTTATCACTTTTCTTGTTTATAAAAGCAACTTGTCTTTACACATTTCTCCTGAAATCCAGGTTAAAAATTGCAATGGAAATACCAATAATGGAAATAAAGTTAAACATCAAAATTAGAAATCTAAAAACAAAGGAAAGAATGTTAAATCAAATAACAATAAGCAAGTAATGAAAATGTTAAAAGAGTGAATTATGAAATATTAAGATAAAATATGGGCTAAAAAAGTAAGATTTAAATAGAAAAATTGAAAATATTCTTGAATTTTCTGATATTGAGACTAATTGTGATAATGGAGAGCAACATTGTCAAAGTGATGTTGACAAAATTATGCAAATCCAAGGTAAAAATTTTTTTTCGAGCATGTAACATAGGTGTTAAACGTATTTTATTGTAACGAAAAGTGCTAGCGTTCTTAAATTATGTTATTTTTTGAGTTATGCATATAAATATTAATACGGTTGAGTTAGGATCTAATTATGTGAAGATTAAAAGCTTTAAGTTTGTATTTTGTTTGGTTTTTTAAAACTAGTGACATCAAGATAAAAATAAGCATTTTGATTAAAAAAAAAGAAGAAAAAGATATTCTCATTCGGCCTTTTAATCTGTTTTTGGCTTCAAGTTATGCATTAATTAACATTTTAACGTTTATCCCTCACTCGTGAAAAAGACTTTTCTCTCGATCTCTCATTCTTCAATCTTTATTAAATCTCAATAAGCAATCAAACTGATCTTGGCATTTTTCATCCCGTCATCATCACTAGCGTTTCGACATCTTTTTACATAGAGTAACAAGGAGCATGGCTAAAGTAGAGATTAAAATGTTAAGTTTTCCTTTCACTTTTTTTGTATGTTTCTATTGTTTAATGAACCTTTTTGCTTAAAATTTTGCATCTATGTTCATTAATGCTCATTAGAATCTAATTAGGCTCTTCAATTTGATACAGGTTCATTAATTTGTGTAACTCGTAAGAGTTGTAAAATTTTTAAGTAGACATCAGTATATGAGCTAGATTATGAGACAGGTGTGTAATTATGTCATGACTGTTCTAAGTTTTTTCTTATTATTATTCGAAGAATTTACTACTTTTTTATTATTAAATTTCATTTTATTAATATAAAGTGATAAGCGGTGTTAAATTTTGCGATTATACTATTTTGCTTTTGTTTCAGCGTTGATTATGGATATACAATGGCGAAAAATGAGTTTATGAATATGTGTGCTTTTAGAAGAAACTGGTTTGCCTATTTCTAAATCTGAGAAACTTTGATAGAGTCGAAAGCCATTATTTTTGTTGACATCAGCGCACTAGTCAGATTATGGTGCATGTGTGTAATTATGTTTTAATTAGTATCATTAATTATTTTAATTTTGTTATTATATTTTTATTGTTGTATTTTTACATTTCATTAATCTAGTGTGACATCCAGGTGCGTCATTTTCCCATTTTATTCCTTTTTTGTTGTTTTTGGACTGAATATTTACAAAATGGCGAAAAATGAGTGACAATAAATGTGTTTACTGGACGAAGAAAATTATTTGTCTAATTATACACTTGAGAAATTCTGAGTCGAAAAAATTAGGAAATCGATCATCTTTTATGTCGACTTCAATAAATGAAATTGATGATGATAGTGCAGGTGTGTAATTATGATAAATCCATTTTCAAGTTATCGTTTTATTTTTCGTAATATAAAAACTTAATTTCATTAACTTAATGTGACTTGGTGAGTTAATTTGCAAAGGTAATAAATTTTGCTTACGTTTCAGCTCTGAATAAGAATCAAATGGCTTAGAATTGGAATTGCAAGAATATGTGGAAAAAGATGTGGTTATAGAAGAGATTGTTTATTGTATCGTATTACGATCTACCGAAGCATTGTAAGTACATCTACAGATTTTAGTGCAAACAATAAATTTGGCAAAATTTTTGATTTCACTTAATTTCAGCAACTTTCTTAATCATATAATACTAAAACAACAATTTTACATAATTCATCAGAATATTTGTGTACAGTGCGCGAAGTAAAAAACGGGAAACCTATGATCAAACGATCGGATTTTCAGGTTCTAGAACTCATTCCTGATGGTTGGTGGCGGGGACCGCAATTATGCTAATTAATTCGTGCAGATGATATTTCAAATTACGAAATCAGACGCAAAAATGTATTTTCTCCGAATAAACAAACGCTTTTTCTGACGGATTCGGATTTCTAACGCCCATAATATAAGGGGTAGTCGCAATCAGCGAAATATGGTTCAGGAAAGCTGTCCAAAGTTTGGATCACTTAATGTTAATTCTTTTTGCATATTTCGCCATATCTTGANTTAACGAGTGTAAAATCCTTATCAAAATAATGATCAAGACCCAAATGTAAAACAGTATAATTGACGATAAAAACTCAACTGGCTGCAAAACATATGAAGAGGGAAACAAAAGTCAACATGTTTCGAGCGTTCAAATATAATCGCCCATTCTCAAGACTTGTCAGGCTTGAATAACTTGTGACTTTTATTATTGGACGCTCAAAACATGTCTATTTTTATTATCATCCATTATTTTTTTTTAATCATTGACGTTATTATATTTTCGATTCAGTTTCTTGGGATTATCCATTTAGTTACACAGCATATTAAATTATTTCACACTATATTTAAATAAGTTTTGCATAAGTTATAGGCACAGGTTCTCAGATTGAAAAAATAATAATTCACTACTTTGTAAAAATGATCAATGCAGTATTTATTTATTTATTTATTTTTTTTTGCTACAAGCCTTAACATTTTAATTTAAGGACATCAAAAAATTCTGTTTACAATTGAAATTTATCTTTATATTATTTATTATCTTTATAAATATAGTGATTAGTTATTACATCATACCTTAGACACCTTAATAAACTATGTTCACTGACTAAATATAATAATAAAAGCTTGAATGGAAAATTTCTTTGCAGGCTTTTGTGCCAATAATTAGCTAAATTTTTATCTTATTGCGGTCTTTAATGTCCTGACGGGAACTGATAGGATCAATCCATTTAAAGACAATCATCCAGGTAAAAATGGGTGCAGTTTTTTTTAAGGTGACATCCACCGATGACTCAGTGCAATGCGAAGATAATTTCAAAAAGCAAAACTTTCCTTAGAGAATAATATTCGAAATACTGATTTTAAGAACTTTAGAAGAATCTTTAGGAGGGAAGTAGCCCTGGCATCTTTTTAGAAAGTGATTGCATTTACAATGCCGATGAAGCAAGAGTTGAATACTGCCCTTAAGCGGGGAAAATTTTTCTCCCTAAAAATTATAAGGATTTATATTCCAAAGTACCCAGGAAAGAAAAAGTACCTCCCTTGGTAGTTTTTCCTTACTGAAGAATTCTTTTAGATATTACAGAATCAGTCCCTGCTATATATTTCATTGGAAAAAGCGATTCATGAAATGAAACGATGATCGCAGCAACATTTTACAAATATATTGCATATGTTTCTACCCATGGCTAATTAAAAATGCTATCAAATTCCCTATTTTGCTTGTTATGAATAGGTATAAATCTCATATCAATTTGAAACTGAGCAAGTTTTGTTCATCAAAACAAATTTTCTGGTTTACTTTTCTACTTAATTCATTGAAGTCTCCCGTTAGATCTTGAAAACAAAAGAATTGTAAAACAATATGTCGAGAAAATTTTACATCCATTTTTAAATAAGATTTTGAAGCATCAACTGATGAAGTTAAAATGCCTTTATGAAATGTGATATTTTTCCTTTCGATGTAGAAAACGTTGAACAAATGCATGTAAAACAGACACCAAGAGTTAATGAGCAAGACAGCTTATCAACAAAACACATGCTTTGAGAGTAAAGATGCACTATTTCTTCAGAAGCTTGAGATGGAAATCTCACAAGTTATGCTGCAAATTTTTAAAGGAACACTGACAGAAAAATTTAATCTCCCAAATATCCAGTAGCCTGTGCTTTTCTCAATATTGAAGAATTTATTTCAAAAAGAACATTTGGTTAATCAAATTTTGGCACTGAAGCTGATACAACTAACATTGATAATAAAAGTATCTTGAAAACTGATTTTTAAATAAGTCCTCTTGAGGCATTGTTAGTTGCAAAAACGANTAGCATGTGCTTTTCTCAATATTGAAGAATTTATTTCAAAAAGAACATTTGGTTAATCAAATTTTGGCACTGAAGCTGATACAACTAACATTGATAATGAAAGTATCTTGAAAACTGATTTTGAAATAAGTTCTCTTGAGGCATTGTTAGTTGCAAAAACAATCGGTTCCATAAGTAAATGGTAAGTACTGCTGATGACTCACTAGATATAAGTCAATGAGAGATGGATTTTACTCAAACTTCGTAAATCCTTTTTCTCATTTATTATCCAGTGAGGAATTCTAGAAATGGTACTGGAAAATCAAAAGAAATTTCGAAGATACATTTGAGAGTAAAGATGGCCAACAATTACATTGGCCAACAATTTGGAAAAAAGAGGAAGGTTAAATCAAAAGAAAAAGAAATAAATTACTTTTTTGCATAGACTTCAGAAAAAGAACGAAAATTTTAAGAGATTGAAAGAGCTGAAAAAAAGTTAAAGAAGAAAGTATGACGAAGAGAAAAAAAATACTTAAGATAAAAAAGAAGTTCAAAAAATATGGGGAAAAGAGTAAACAAAAAAGTGATCTAATTATAATAATAATAATAAAAGCATCATCGGATTACACAATAATAAACATTCATAATTTAGAATTGACAATTAAACTGTGTGGAAAAAGATGAAATTATTTTTTTTAAAATTATGTATTCAAACATATTTTACTTTCCGTTACATGACAGAAAAAAAAGTAACATTTTCCACGTTAACTGTGGTTATATGATGCAATTCCAAGAAAAATCTTGTTTTTAGACATTTGTGTGGCCTATGGATTCCTAACGAGCATCAAACATTCTCAAAATTAAGTGTTCATTCACTTGAAAATTTAGTGTTTATTCACTGGTAAGAACTGTTCCTTCACTTGGTTATCTTACTACTTATTATTTAAACCACCAAAAGCTTAAAACAATATTATGTAAGTTATCTAA